TGGTTCCAATTGTGTACTACCCTTAATTGTATACCATTCTCAAGAGGAGAAAAATAGATTTTCTGTGGTTTGTATGAGGAACCTTTATTATGCTTTAAACCAGCTCCTCTGGTCTCTTTACAGGCCTTAGCCCCATCCTTCCCCTGCAAAAAAAAAAAATGTCGCCAAATTGCTTGGGAGGAAATCAGAATTTTGTTGGACTTACTTATAATTACTTTATGATTTAGTTTTTTTTAAGATTTTATTTATTCATGAGAGACACACAGAGAGAGACATAGGCAGAGGGAGAAGCAGGCTCCTCACAGGGAGCCTGATGTGGGACTCCATCCCCAAACTGGGATCACGCCCTGAGCCAAAGGAAGATGCTCAACTGCTGAGCGTCCCAGATTTAATATTGTTTTGAACAACAAAGGAGAGGGTACAAATATAGTCTTTTGTGTTTGGGTTTCTAAAGGTCTAAATCTGGCCCTGGATCCTAATCCAAATAGGATGGATATAGTCTGTATTAACAGCCCTAGTGTTCTTCAAGATGTTACATCAAAAGGGGTGGGACTCCCTTCTAAAACTCACTTGAAGGACCAATCCACTTTTGGCACTTTAACAATGTTTAATACACATTAGGAATGAAACTTTTTTTTTTTTAATTTTTTTTTGCAGCCCCCCTCCCCAGGCCGGCCGGACGGCCCCAGGAATGAAACATTTTTTTATGGCCAGGTCATGCTGACCAATACAAAGTTAAATTCTGAATCATTGTATAATTTAACTAAAAAACTCAAAAATACTTTTTTATTCTCTTCAACATTCAGTAGGAAATATCCCCATTTCCTCAAAAATAATCAGAATTTTAAGAAATCTAGATATTTACTAACAACTTATAAGTAATGGCTTTACGTACACTAGAAAACTTTCTGTATTGAAGATTATATTCTAAAGCTTATTTCCCAGTGTGATTTATTATGTGTATATTTTTTAGGGATTAATATGCCAAATCTGTCATTACTAGTTTGTGCCTTGTGAGGGCTTCATCATCCCTGGTGTGAGAAAATCCTTGAGATAAAGTAGGATTTCATCACTGTATTCTCTTATTCCTAAATGTTTAGATAGAAGTAATCACTTTCTCCTGAACAGGATTGAAATCAAATTGGTATCTTAGAAACTCTGAGTAGAAATCATTTGCTGAAGCATCTGTGACTGCCATTTTAGACCTGTCATACCCTTAGCAGGTATGTGTTTAATGCATAGTATGTAGGTAATTTCACATTTGATAGAAAAAAAAATTTCATTGTCCCTAGCTCAGTGGTTCTTAACCCTCGCCACACATTAACATCATCTGGGAAATTTTTTCTTAAATTCTGATGGCTGGACCACATTTTCAGACTCTTTGGGATTGGGATCTAGCATTAGTAGTTTTAACGCCTCCCTAGGTAATTGTCATATGCAGTCAGCACTGAAAACTCTTCCTAATCCTATAATAGTCTTTGGCTTTCATAGCTAAGCTTTTCTTCTTCCACCTAGAACCACTGACTCAATTTCTTTTCCCTAGAGAAATACATAAAACAATAAATGCCAATATGAGAAAGAGATGAAAGAGATTAGTCCAGTGTGTGTATATATAACTTGTTCTTGTCAGTGCTACACTCTGCCTTTCGTATCCCCTTACTTCACTGAACACTATAGGCATCAATACAATTTCACTGGCCCCAACCTTAAACCCCCAACACTTTGAGGTCCTTCTACTTTTTGGCCTGCTTACTTTCTTATTCCCTTCAGTTTCTGTTCCAAAGCTTCATCACTTGATGTACCACTTTATCAGGAGCCTCAACTTTTACTTCATCAAATGGAGGCCATAATGCTAGAAGGTTTTAATTTCCTGTTTTCTCCCATCACGTCAAAGGACAAACTATAACTACAACTATCTTCATCTACTTAACTGCCTATCTCAGAAGATGAGGTACCTCACTTAATTTTTCTTTTTCTTTTTCTTTTTCTTTCTTTCTTTCTTTCTTTCTTTCTTTCTTTCTTTCTTTCTTTCTCTTCTTTCTTTTTCTTTTCTTTTCCTTTCCTTTTTCTTTTTTTTCTTTCTTTTCCTTTTCTCTTTTCTTTCTTTTTTTTTTCTTTTCTTTTCTTTCATTTGACAGAGCACAAGCAGGGGGAGCAGGAGGGAGAGGGATCAGCAAGGAGCCTGATCATGATCTGAGCCAAAGACAGGCGCTTAACCAACTGAGCCACCTAGGCACCCCACCCCACCTCACTTCATTTCTTATTTTAGTCATCATCGTAAGGCAATTCTTTTATTCTCCCTTTGACTTTATACACTGATGATCCCTAGATCTCTTTCTCTTGATCTCTTGGATGAATTTCAAACTCATAGCCACTGTTTGCAAGATAACTTGATCTCTTTTTCAAAGGGATTTCAAAGTCAAGATGCCTCAAGCTAAACTCTTTCTATCTGTAATTTTTTATAGCACACTGGGGAACTGGTACCCAGACAACCATGCCAGAAAGCTGGGACTTACAACTTCTTCCTTACCTCTATATCCAGTTTCCAAATCCTGCTGACTTGGCCTATATTCTAAATTTCAAATTCCTTTCTTTCCAGTTTTATTACTATAGCTCAAACTCCTGTCTTTATCTTCATATCCAGACTGCTTTGATAGTCTCCTAATTAGACCCCTGCCCCTCTAAAACTTACCTTTATTAGTGATTAATATAAAACACCTACCAGTCCCTGGTTATAATTATTCAATGGTTCCATCATAGAGGATAAATTCTGTCCTTTAGCCTGAGACCTCCCATTCCAACAGCTATCATTTTTGACTTTTACTTAAGGTTTAAATTAACACCAAACTGCTTTGTATTACCACACTCAGTTTGTAATACCATACTCTCTTCCTGAAATCCCTTTTCCACCGTTCTTCTCTATCATCTGTAGTTGGCTTTGTGTGCTGCCTTTTCTCTGCTTAGTAAGCTGAACTAAGTGGTAGCAGTCCTAGTAGATCTCAGCAAATTCTATCCTTGCACTTAAACCTTATTGTGTTGAATTTACCTTTCTACCCAGCAAGAATCTAAGTTCCTTAATGGTAAGGGGCATATCTGGGCACTGTATTCCTGATACAAGTAGGTGCTCAAAGTTATCTGAATAAACTGAACTATCCAAAGAAAAAGACTGAGAGAAATGGGACACCGAGCTCCTTCCCTCTATTTTCCACAAACATAAAAAACACCACTCAAAACAAGGCCTCTGAGTCCATAGATTTTGCGTAGATCTGAAGAGATGAGAGTTTACATCATAGAAACATACTAGTTAAAAATTCAGTAGGCCTGGATCTTCAAATTTTTAAGAAATTTTCAAGCACTTTATTGTTAACTGTTGACTATGTTGTTTCCTCTTCTTTCTTTTTTTAAAAGATTTTTATTTATTCATGAGAGACACAGAGAAAGAGGCAGAGACAAAGGCAGAGGGAGAAGCAGGCTCCCTTGGGTAGCCGCATGTGGTACTTGATCCCAGGACCCGGGGATCACACCTTGAGCTGAAGGCAGACACTCAACCACTGAGCCACCCAGACATCCGTTCTTTCCTCTTCTTTGCTCAGTCTTCCCCAGATTCTTTTTTTATTTCCAATGTAGAGAAAATTATCTTTATCCTTTGTTTTCTTAAATTCTGCTAACCAAAATGGAATATTGAGGGATCCAGGCTACCCTCATTTCTTTCTCAAGTGGATTTCCTTTCTTTTTCTTAGAAAAAAAAATTTTTTTTAAAGATTCTATCCGTTTATTCATGAGAGACACACACACAGAGGCAGAGGAGAAGCAGGCCCCATGCAGGGAGCCCAACGTTGAACTCGATCCCAGGTCTCCAGCATCACGCCCTGGGCGGAAGGTGGCACCAAACTGCTGAGCCACCGGGCTGCCCTCCAGGGGATTTCCTAAACAGCCTCCAAAATGGTGGTTTCGTCTCTTCCTTCCTTACGCTCCCACTCTTACCTCCTTTATTCAGTACAACTCTGACTAGTGCACCAAGGGCCAAACTAGTCCTCAAAACAAGACTCAACTTTGGCACTTGCTTGTTGGCCCTTTATGCACCTGCCGTATTGATTTGGGCTTTCTACCTGGAAAATTTTACCCTTCCTCTTTGCCTGCCTTAAATCTACTCAACTCTCAGTTTAAACATCTCTTCCTCCAAGGAAATTGCTCCGAACTCCCGTCCTTTAGATACTTGTGCCACGTGCTCAGTGAACGCTGAATTTCTCATGTGGTAACATTTTTCCTAGTCTTGCCAGGTCAGTATCTTCCCCTGTAGCATCTACCGTGACGGCAGAGATGGTGTTTCCCACTGAATGGTGCATCATTATCTGTAGTCTTGTTTGGAACAAATGAATCCAAATGAAATAGTATTGTTAGTGGATAATACCGTACCCTAGTAGGGTCCATCCCTTTCTTCTTAATCAGCTCTTTGTGCATCTACTCGTTCCATGTCTCTCCATCCGCTTCGCAGTCTGGTCCCATCTCCCTATTCAGCGCCCGCGCTCCAATTATCTGGTCTCCCTTCTTCCCTGTTCCAAACACTTGAGATGTACGGAATCCTAACCTTTCACCCCAAATGAAATATATTTTAGAGAACAAAACACAAACGCAGATTCATTCCCATTATCTTTTTCCTCAAAAGAAAGTGCCTCGAGAGACTTATGAAGACTTTTCAAGATTGCCTCAAAACACACCTGCCACGTCTCGGCCAATTTCCCCAGGTGTAACCAACACTTCCTTCCCCCTTCCCCGGAAACGGAAGGAGGACAGGAAAGGCCCAGCGCTCAGGGTCTGGAGACGCGTTTTCCTCAGGTTCCTTGGTGGGCGGGGCCGGTAGGCCGAAGCCGATTGGCGGGAAGAGACGTCGCTCTCGGCTGACTTCGCTTCCTATTGGCTTCCCCGGATTCCGCCCTCTGGGCAGGGCGGGAGATTCGGTGTGCGGCAGGCAGGCCTCCCATCCCCCCACCCCCCCCAGACTCTGCGATCCTGCGGCCGGCTCTGACTGCTTCCCGGGGATTTGGTCCTGCCTGCCGGGGACCGGGCCGCCTTCCCCGCGGCGCCCAGGAGCGGGGTGCGGGGAGCGGCGCCCGCCGGAGACCCAGCGGTGACCCAGCGGTGCGCGGTGGGACGACGCGCCAGCCCGCTTCCCTCTCCCGCTTCGCTGGGCTTTGTGAGGTGAGTCCGGGGGCGCCCAGCCCCGGTCGCCGAGCTGCGGGCCGTGTCTCGGAGAGGGCTTCCCCTCGGCGCCGCCTGCTGGGTCGCGGCCGCCGGCCCCCGCGGGCCCTGGGACCCCGGGCTGGCGGAGCGCGGCGACCGGCGGGCGGCGCGAAGGCCCCGGCCGGAGTCCGTAAGGGTTCTCGCTGGGGCGAGAGGCTCCTCGGGGAACGCCGTTGGTCAGCCTCCCTCTCCAGCCAGTGATGGGCCTTCTGGGCGAGCGACGCGTCACCAACGCCTCAGTTTCTCGGCGTGAGGAGCCTCGTGCTTGTGAAGAGAAAACTGGAAATCGGTAACCGGCGTGTGGAGTGACCTGAGAGGAGCGGCACGGGGGGGGCTGAGGTAGAGACTCCGTCCCAGGAGCTAGCACGGGAGCGAGAACCATGATGCCATCCCGCTAAGCCAGCAGTCACCCTGGGACAGTGGTTGTGCCGCGTGGATGAACCGGGCTCCTCCGGTGGCGCTTTTCAAGTGGAGAGGATGTGGATGCGTGACTTCTCGCCTTACAACTGAAATCCCGATACAAACCATTATACTTCCCCTGGTTAAGTTGCGATCCGAAGAAAAACCGCGTGGCCCCTACCTCTCTGGGTGTTGGCGCTGCCCGTGAAATAGGTGTCCCTCATCCATCATTCACTGAGCACCTTGACTGTCAGATGAGACGTAGAGATGTGAGGTCTGCGTGCTCAAGGTGAAGGTTGAGGAAGCTGGTGATAGGAAACATGTAATTACCATTCTCAGATGCCAAGCACAGGATCTCACTGAATCATCACAGTTTTGTCCAGAGCCACACAGGAGTGTGGAATTCAGATTAGAACCCAGGTTTATCTGTTATTAAAATTGGTGCTTAACTTTTTTTTTAAAAAGGATTATGTTTTTTTTTTTAAAGATTTTATTTATTTATTCATGAGAGACACACAGAGAGAGGCAGAGGGGGAAGCAGGCTCCATGCAGGGAGCCTGATGTGGGACTTGATCCCACAGACTCCAGGATCACTCCCTGGGCAGAAGGCAGGTGCTAAGCCACTGAGCCATCCAGGGATCCCCAAGGATTATGTTTTTTAAAATTGTAGCAAATCCTTTATTTGCTCTCAAAGGAGGAGGGTATGTTGCTGTTAATACTCTTTTGGTGCTGCTGTATTACCTGCCTTGCTGACTCCTTGAATCCACTTAAAAGTAAGCACCCAGAAACAGTGCCTTGAAGAGTAAATGGTCACTAAAATTTCATTTTTATTGTGTAGTTGTCAAGTAGTGTTTTTCTTTTTTTTTTAAATTTTTTTTTAAATTTATTTATTTATGATAGTCACACACACAGAGAGAGAGGCAGAGACACAGGCAGAGGGAGAAGCAGGCTCCATGCACCGGGAGCCCGATACGGCGGGATTCGATCCCGGGTCTCCAGGATCGTGCCCTGAGCCAAAGGCAGGCGCCAAACCGCTGCGCCACCCAGGGATCCCAAGTAGTGTTTTTCTTTTGTCTGTTTTGTTTTCCGGAAATTGTTGGAGAAGAAGGAAGGAAAGGTTTCTTTCAGCTTTGTAGAAGTGTCTTCAGTTTGGTGATTCTGTACTGTGTAATAAGATGCCTTCAAATCTGGAAAAAGAAATTAGATATAAATGCATTCAGCTACAAACAAGATTTAGTTAGGGTGCCTCTGTCCAGGCAGTTCTTATGTAAAATACCATAGGAAAATTGCAAAAGGCAATATTAAGTTGTCTGGAATTTCTGTTTTTAAATTTTCCTGAAAAATCTCTTCCTGAAGGAACCACCGAACTTCTGCTAATGAGAATCATGTAACTGAACGTTACTCCTTTTTCGCTTTGATGGCCAATTATTAGCTCAGAGAGAGAATTCTTTGTATGATGTATTTTGTTTTCTTTATATTTTCCTAGGTCCAGACTTCCTATTAGTATTATAGTTTGTTATTTGTTTTATTGCATTTGCTTATTGTCACTACTTCAAATCCTTTGTAGAACATAGCTGCTTGTATTTTAAAATGATAGATTAGGGCAGCCCTGGTGGCTCAGCGGTTTAGTGCCGCCTTCAGCCCAGGGCATGATCCTGGGACCCCGGGATCGAGTCTCATGTCGAGCTCCCTGCATGGAGCCTGCTTCTTCTTCTGCCTGTGTCTCTGCCCGCCCCCCTAAATAAATAAATAAATAAATAAATAAATAAATAAATAAAATCTAAAAAAAAAAATAGACTGAATCTGGCCATGCTCTTAAAAGTATGCTTGTTAGAACAAGGCATGTTTAGCTTAATGAACTGGAAATGTAGAGAAACTGTAGAAGTCTTTGGATGTTTGAACTTACCAGGTGGGAAAATGATTAGATATATTAGGAATACGGGTGCCTGGTGGCTCAATTAAGTATCTGTCTTTGGTTCAGGTCACGATCCCAGGGTCCTGGGACCAAGCCCTACATCATCTTCTCCCTCTGCCTGCTATTCCCCCTACTTGTGCTTGCTCTGTCAAATAAATACATATTTTTTTTAAAAAAATAGATATAAACAGTATCCAGAAGTCCGAACAAGCATTTAGGATAATGGATTTGGGGACACTTGGGTGGCTCAGTAAGTTCAGGATGTGATCTCAGGATCATGGGATCCAGCCTCCATTCCAGGTTTGCACTCAGCAGGAAGTCTGCTGGAGAATATCTCTCCCTCCCTCCTTCCTCCTCTTTCTCCCTCCTCCTCTGTCTTCCTCTCCCTTCACCCCTCCCCTGCCTCCCTCCCTCTCCCTCTCCTGACACCTCCTGTCTTTTTCTGCCTCTTCCCTCAATTCTTTATCTCTTGCTCTCTAAAATAAATAAGTAAATTTAAAAAAATAACAAATTTGTATTTAATGGCAAGAAAAGTGTGTGACAGAGTGATTAGGGTCTTTAGAATCAGTCAGACTTCGGTTTTAGCCCTAACACACTTTCTAGTTGTATAAATTTGGATGAGTAATTTAATAGTTAACCTCAATTTACTCCTATATGTATTGGGGAAAATATATATATTTTAACTGCCTCAAAGAATATGAGGACTTAATGATTTGCTATGCATAAAAGTACCCAATAGAGTGTCTGACAAGCCGCCCCTCAGAAAAGCTTTTATTTATACAGATATAAAGAAATCATGTTTCTTTATTATATAAAAATACCACGTAAATACATTAATTTTTTTCTCTACTACGTCTGAATTCCCCATAATAGAAAGCACTATCATGACTAGAAAGATGGCCCAAAGGAGTATATATTCTGCTAGCAATGGTCTTATAAATTATAGATGAAATATTATCTTTATACACAAAGCATAAGCCGAAGAGGATTGTTATGAGGGTTAAATGAAAATATGTATAGAATAATCAAAATTGTGTTTAGCATATAGTAAGTGCTCCCTTGGCCTCCTCTTTCCAGCCACTTGCTTCTGCGATTGAATCTTCTCAGTCTTTAGTACTCTTGGCCAAAATACTGATGGGTGTTTTGCCCTTTACTATGCCATCATAGTAACTTTGCAAGAACTGCATTTATCGATTTATCTTGTTTATTTAAACTCAGGAACTCGTTTGGTTGTTTTCATTTCCTAGAAGCCGACCTTGACCAAGTTCTTTTTCCAATTGCAGGTGACTCAGAATTTTCCAGCTGCAGAATGTGTAGGGCCTTTAAAGGTAAATGAAAATTAAGACAAGTCATTTAAATGTGCTAGTTTCAGGGGCACCTGCCTGGCTTATTCCGAAGAGCGTAGGACTCTTAATTTCAGGGTTTTTCCTAACTCTGGGAAACAAACTAGGGGTGGTGGAAGGGGAGGTGGGCGGGGGGGGGGGGGTGACTGGGTGAGGGGCTCTGAGGGGGACACTTGATGGGATGAGCACTGGGTGTTATTCTATATGTTGGCAAATTGAACACCAATAAAAAAAAATTCAGAGTCTTGAGTTTGAGCCCTATGTTGGGTGTAGAGATTATTTAAATAAAACTTAAAAAAAAAATGTCATTAAAAAAAAAATCGGTGGGGGGTGCCTGGCTGGCTCAATTGGTAGAACATACCGCTCTTGATCTCAGGGTCATGAGTTCGACCTCACGTTGGTTATAGAGATTATAAATAAATAAGCTTTTTATTTTTTTTAAAATGTGCTGGTTACGAAGGAAAACTTGACAACATTTAGTAAGTTATCTGCATGTGAATAACTGACTTATGAGTGACATAGTCTGCAGTTCCTATTAGTAGGAAAAACAAAAATAGGATTTATAGTAGAAGAGAAAAAATTCATTTTTTTGAGTAAACTGATTAGCTAGGAGCCAGTTGGAATCATCATTATTTAGTTTCAGGCCATTAGTATTTTAAGTTCCAAAGCAAAATTTTTCTTTGAGTTTATCTTTGTGTATGGTGCAAGAGAGTGGTCCAGTTTCATTCTTCTGCATGTGGATGTCCAATTTTCCCAGCACCATTTATTGAAGAGACTGTCTTTCTTCTAGTGGATCGTCTTTCCTCCTTTATCGTATATTAGTTGAGCATAAAGTTCAGGGTCCACTTCTGGGTTCTCTGTTCTGTTCCATTGATCTATATGTCTGTTTTTGTGCCAGTACCACACTGTCTTGATGAACACAGCTTTGTAGTACAACCTGAAATCTGGCATTGTGATGCCCCCAGATATGGTTTTCTTTTTTTAAAATTCCCCTGGCTGTTTGGGGTCTTTTCTGATTCCACACAAATCTTAAAATAATTTGTTCTAAGTCTCTGAAGAAAGTCCATGGTATTTTGATAGGGATTGCATTATACGTGTAAATTGCCCTGGGTAACATTGACATTTTCACAATATTAATTCTGCCAATCCATGAGCATGGAATATTTTTCCATCTCTTTGTGTCTTCCTCAATTTCTTTCAGAAGTGTTCTGTAGTTTTTAGGGTATATTTTGAGAACCATTTGAATGGTAAATGGTTCTCCAACCTTTTATTTTCAGGTTGTAGGTGTCCTTCTGTCTAAAATGAGTCTCTTGTAGACAGCAAATAGATGGGTCCTGTTTTTTTATCCAGTCTGAAACTCTGCGCCTTTTGATGGGGTCATTAAGCCCATTCACGTTCAGAGTTACTTGAACTTCTTCTTAAAGGGGAGTTTTAAGAGTCCCCCTTAAAATTTCTTGCAGAGCTGGTTTGGAGGTCACATATTCTTTCAGTTCCTGCCTGTCTTGGAAGCTCTTTATCTCTCCTTCCATTTTGAATGAGAGCCTTGCTGGATAAAGTATTCTTGGTTGCATGTTCTTCTCATTTAGGACCCTGAATATATCCTGCCAGCCCTTTCTGGCCTGCCAGGTCTCTGTGGAGAGGTCTGCTGTTACCCTAATATTCCTCCCCATGAAAGTCAGGGACTTCTTGTCTCTTGCTGCTTTAAGGATCTTCTCTTTATCTTTGGAATTTGCAAGCTTCACTATTAGATGTCGAGGTGTTGAACGGTTTTTATTGATTTTAGGGGGGGATCTCTCTATTTCCTGGATCTGAATGCCTGTTTCCCTTCCCAGATTGGGAAAGTTTTCAGCTAGGATTTGTTCAAATACATATTCTGGCCCTCTGTCCCTTTCGGCGCCCTCGGGAACCCCAATTAAACGTAGGTTTTTCTTCCTTAGAGTGTCATTTATTTGCCTTAATCTGTCTTCATGGTTCTTTAATTGTTTGTCTCTTTTTTCCTCAGTTTCCCTCTTTGCCATTAACTTGTCTTCTATGTCACTCACTCGTTCTTCCACCTCGTTAACCCTCGTCGTTAGGACTTCTAGTTTGGATTGCATCTCATTCAATTGATTTTTAATTTCTGCCTGATTGGATCTAAATTCTGCAGTCATGAAGTCTCGTGAGGCCTTAATGCTTTTTTCTAGAGCCACCAGTAGCTGTATAATGGTGCTTCTGAATTGGCTTTCTGACATTGAAGTGTAATCCAGATTTTGTAACTCTGTGGGAAAGAGGGCTGTTTCTGATTCTTTCTTTTGAGGTGAGGTTTTCCTTCTAGTCATTTTGCTCAGTGCAGAGTGGCCAAAAACAAGTTGTATTGGAACACGGGGGAGTATCACTGGTCCGTCTAGCTGGTCTTCTGGGGGAGGGGCCTGCTGTGCTGATTTTCAGGTGTTAGCACTTGGGGGAGCTGCTCTGCCCCTGCCTGCTGCAGGGCTCAGCGGGGGTTGTTTACCCCGTGGGACCCAGGGAGGAACAGCAGCAGTTGCTATGGCAACTCTGGAAGCCTGGATTCAGCCTCCGCAGGAACTACGGGGCTCCGGGCTCTCGGCTCTCCGTCTGCAGGGCCTGGAGGCTCCGGGGCGGGGCCGCTGATCTGCTCAGCTCGGGGCAGGAGCGTCCTTGCTGTCCTGGGCCCTCCCGGCCTCTGCCTGTCCCAGGGGGAGGCCGGATCCTGGGCTGTGTCCCGGCGCCCTGTGCTCCGGGGCCTGCGCTGTGGGATTCGCGCTCAAACTAGGCAGAGTTGATCAAGTTTTTGCTTGCCAGATTCTGAAATCTGTTCAGTGAAGAACTGACTATAAAGTACTGTTTAGTTACCAGGATACGCAGAAAGCCATATTCATAACTGTAAAGTTGTTGGTAAGCATACAATAATAGTAAAGGGAGGTGCTTGAGGATTATTTGATCCAGGTTTGGTATACCAATGAAATGCATAGACTTCCCCCACTAGAAGTAAACTATTTGTTTTTAGTGAATAGATACTACCAAACCATTATTCTTTGCTTGTCTGCTCCTTCTCTAAATTCATGTATTAACCACTCCTTTCTGGTAATGTTATCATTCTGTAGATTGGTTAGGGCTTTCTTTACAGGAAGAATTGTTTTCCTCTTATTATATTTTAGTTGCGTTGATTGAATTTTGCTTTTTCCAACTCTCAGACACCTCCTGTCTTTTCCATTTTTCAGATAAAGAGTTGATTTACCTATGTTCAGAAACATAATACTAATATAATAATGCATAATATGTGTTTTATACTTAAGACTTTTTAAAATGTCATACAAATGCATGTATTTGTTATGTGAATGTTTATTTGGCTGTTGATATCAATTTTTCATCACTTTTGAGTGCTTTATTGTTTTTGTTTAGATTGGCAATGATGAGTAAACTGGAATTAAAGGAAGACAGGATGTTGGAGGTTCAGTTTGTGGGAGATGATGATGTCCTTAATCACATTCTTGATAGAGAAGCAGGTACTGATTATATAATTGTAGAGATGTTTATGTGACGGTTATGGTTTACTTCACTTTTAAAATATTTTAAACTATTTTGAAAATACAGCACAAAGTATTTCATCTACTAAGACTAAATAAAAACTACTTTTTTAAGTTTATTCCACTCAAATTTTTGAAAATTAAAAATAAAGCATTTGATATGAAATGCTTAATAATAGGGGTAAGTGATAACTACCCATTGTAATTAAAATGTGTCGCCCCCCAAAATAATAAACTTTCAAGATTTTGCTTCAAATTATATAAAGTGTGGTGAAAAGTGGTGCATGCTTTCATCAAAAACACTGAATTTTTTCCCCAGATTTTAAATAATGACAATTTAAGTAGTACAGTTTATTTACTTATTTAAATGTAATGTTTAGAAAGAATTTATGCCTGTCACATTGTAATTCTTTGGATGTTCTTACAGGAGCTAAATTAAAAAAGGAGAGAACTCAGCTTTTGGTCAACACAAAAAAAATAATAAAGAAGCCAGAATATGATTTGGAAGAAGATGACCAAGAAGTCTTAAAAGATCAGAACTATGTAGAAGTTTTAGGACGAGATATTCAAGGTATTTTGGTGGTTGGAGTTGGGGAAACTACACTCAAATTTCTGCTAGTAGCTGAAATTGCTTTGCAGGATACATAACCATAGTCTGGTAGGTTAGGCAGTGGCGAGCTATATTATTATTTTTTAATTGTAAACTACATGTAATATAAACTTTACCATCTTTAACACATTAAGTGTATACTTCATAGTTTTATATATTCATGATTCTGTGCTACTATCCCCACCATCCATCTCCAGAGCATACTACATTATTATGTTTCTCATCAGAAAAGCATTTGCTTCAGGGTTTTATGTACAATTGGGAAGGTTGGAAGCACTGAGTTTCCAATACAGTTTTTTTCTTTAGTTTTATTTTTTCCCACAAGCAACCAGTCCTACACTGAATTATTTTTAGATTCTACAAACCAATCTAAAGTTATGTTTAAGATATTTATATGTTTAATTTGAAATAATTTCATAAAGCAAGTCACTTCGTTATGACTGTAATCTTTACAAAATTAGTTAGAAAGGGGAACCTGGGTGGTTCAGTCGGGTAGGTATCTGACTCTTGATTTCAGCGTGGGTCATTTTCCCAGGTTCCTGGGATTGGGTACTATACTGGACATGGAGTCTACTTGCAGTTCTCTCGCTCCCTCTCCTTCTGTCCTTCTCCCCCCTGGTTTACACACACACACACACACACACACACACACTCTCTCTCTCTCTCTCTCTCTCTCTTTAAAAAAGAAAAAAAAAATAAGAAGGAAAATTCCAAGAAGTAATGTTGTTTCAACGTTCGCATGCTGGTGTTGTGGTTTTTTTACACCTAAGCCAGATTCCTGCCAGATTATATTTATTTAAAATTTAAGTTGGAAAAAAATAAAATAAAATTTAAGTTGACTTAAAAAAATAAGGGACGCCTGGGTGGCTCAGCGGTTGAGTGTCTGCCTTTGTCTCAGGGCGTGATCCTGGAGTTCCTGGATTGAGTCTCACATTGGGCTCTCTCCGGGGAGCCTGCTTCTCCCTCTGCCTATGTCTCTACCTCTCTCTCTGTGTCTCTCATGAATAAATAAATAAAACCCTTAAAAAAATAATAAAATAAAGACCAGGGGCACCTGGGTGGTTCAGTCAGTTGAGCATCTGCCTTCAGCTTAGGTCATGATCCCAGGGATCTGGGATCAAGCTGCATCGGGCTCTCTGCTCAGCGGGGAGTCTACTTCTCCCTCTCCCTCTGCCTTTCCCCTCTCCCCTCTCCATGGGGCTTGATCCCAAGACCCTGAGATAATCACCTGAATCAAAGTCAGATACTTAACTGACTGACTCATCCAGGCACTCCAGAACTTTGCATTCTTGACTCCTATTATGGTAGACCTAAAATTGAAAACAACATATTTGTCTTTAAATTGTTTTTTTTTAAGACTTTTTTTTTTTTCAAAGATTTTATTTATTTCTGAGAGACACAGAGAGGGAGAAGCAGGCTCCACGCAGGGAGCCCGATGTGGGACTCAATCCTAGGACTCTAGGATCACTCCCAGAGCAGAAGGCAGATGCCCAACCACTGAGCCACCCAGGCATTCCAAGACTTACTTTTTATTTGAGAGAGAGAGCATGAGCAGGAGGGGCAGAGAGAGAGAGAGGAAGAGAGAATCTCAGGCAGACTCCCTGCTCAGCTCGGAGACCAACTCAGGTGTCTATCCCACAATCCAGAACCAGGACCAAGTTGGTGGCTCAACTAACTGTGCCACCCAGGCACCCCTAAATTTTTTTTTAAAGATATTATTTATTTACTTGAGAGAGTATAAAGAGAGAGCACGAGTGCGGTATGGGGAGAGGGAGAAGCAGGCCCCCCACAAAGCAGGGAGCTTTCTGTGGGGCTCGATCCCAGGACTCTGGGGTCACAACTTGAGCTGAAGGCAGATGCTCAACCAACTGAGCCACCCACGTGGCCCTAAAATTTTTTTTCTTTTTAAGATTTTATTTATTTATTTGAGAGAGACGGCAAAAGGAAGGATGAATTGGGGGAGTAGGGTACCAGGGGTTGGGAAGAGGGACAGAAGCAGGCTCTCTACTGATCAGGGAGCTTGATGCAGGGGTTAGTCCCGGGACCTGAAGATTGTGACCTGAGTCAAAGGCAGACACCTAATCAACTGAGCCACCAAGGCTCCCCAAAATTATTTTTCTCCCCAAAAAATACATATCTGTGAGGCACATGGCTGGCACATTCAGTAGAGCATGTGACTCTTTGATCTTGGGGTTGTAAGTTCAAGATCCACTTTAGATGTAGAAATTACTTTAAAAATTTAATTAATTTTTTTTAAAGATTTTATTTATTTTTCATGAGAGACGTACCAAAAGAGGCAGAGATACAGGCTGAGAGAGAAGCAGGCTCTCTTCAGGGAGCCTGATGCAGGACTCAATCCTAGGACCCCGGGATCACAACCTGAGCCAAAGGCGGACACAACCACTGAGCCACACAGGTGCCCCTAATTAAATCTTTTTAAAAAAGGGTAATACATATTTGTAATAGAAACTCAGTGCTTCCAAGCTTTGTCACATAGTAGCATTCACAGCAAATTATATTTGGAAGCATGCTGGAATAAATGGAGGAGAATGCTCCAGACCAGGACAGATGCCCTAGGGCTACTGACCCCTGTTCCTGACCCTTCTGGAAGCCTTGTCTGGCGTCCTCAAAAGCCTGAGAGGATTATTACTCAGCACACCTGTAACCTTTGCCTTTAATTTTGCACACTTACTGGGAAACTTTGCCTTAGAGCAGCGTTCTACAACCTGTTTTTTACTCTCATCCCCTAAAGAGCCTTTTTTTAGACAGTTTCTCCTAATTGCCCCCACTCACAAAATTTTAATACCACACGTATGATCTGTTTACATATCTGTTGCCCTTGTGAAGACCACAGACCAGTTTATAATATCTAGGATGTTTTCACATTCTCCCTCCTCCCACACCAAGAGCTAATTTTTAATCCATTAAGAGCAATATATTCCTGTTAAGAATGCATGCTTTAGAGAACATGGAACTGTTAACAGTTGGGTGTTAAGCACACACATAAGCTTGTGTTGACAGTCTCTGAGTCGAGGAAATAGAGCTGTTCATTTGGCTATGGGTATGTACAACAAATGAGCTCAAAACTTGCAGTTGAGTCTCACAGACATGACTCTTTCTGTTTTGATTTGTTTTTTTCTTGTTTGCCAAAATGTGGATAGGGATAGAGAATGCTGTTCCAGTTAAGATATAGGAAGGAGTTTTTTCTCAGTGTTTTCTTCAGAGAGAAAATGTGACATTTATTATAGTCTTTTTTAGATATGAACAATAAGCTTCTGCCCAGTCTTTTATTATAACAAAAAGCATATATGCATTATTTTTAAGACACAGAGGACATTTGGTAAAGAATCTTTTTTTTTTTTTTTCGGTAAAGAATCTTTAGGAATAATTAGAAAGCAGCCTTTCAACAAGGACCTCTTAATACTTTATTGATTAATCCCTTTACTTACTATCAAAGTGTAAGCTTCTGCTTATAATCAGTACACATCTTGACATAACTGGCATAATTCTCATAGTCTATTAATCCATCTAGTCTGGAGAACAATCATTGCATGGAAATGCTAAGTGATCTCAGCCTTAAATAGAAGATTTTTCCCAAAGATCTCCCAAAGCAAGTAGATAGGTGTCCTCAAGAGCAATTTGTCTTATTGATACTTCTCTTGAGCAATTGGTGTGTTTTTTAGTCTTATAAACAGTATAATTCTATACTTGATTCTTTATAAGTTGAATGCTAGAAAATTATGTGACAAGTATGTGGTCTATTTATAGTTTATTTAAAGATTTTATTTATTTGAGAGAGAGAGCGCATGCACACAAGTGGGGGAAGGGAGAGGGAGAAGCAGACTCCCTGTAAGTGCAGAGCCTGGTTTGGTGCTCCATCCCAGGACTCTGAGATCATGCCCTGAGCCCATCAGCCACTTAACTTACTGAGCCACCCAGGGCCCCATTCATAGTATATTTAATGTTGCCTTATTCACAGTTCCATTTTTGAACTTAAGGATTATGTCAGGGTTTTTTTTTTTATTTTTTATTTATTTATGATAGTCACACACACAGAGAGAGAGAGAGGCAGAGACATAGGCAGAGGGAGAAGCAGGCTCCATGCAGGGAGCCTGATGTGGGACTCGATCCCAGGTCTCGAGGATCATGCCCTGGGCCAAAGGCAGGCGCTAAACCGCTGCGCCACCCAGGGATCCCTATGTCAGGTTTTTAATTGTGGTTAAATAAAATCTCTTTTTAAAAATTATGAGAGGAGTGCCTCGGTGGCTCAGTCAGTTAAGTGTTTGACTCCTAGTTTTGGTTTAGGTCACGATCTCCGGGTTGTAGGAATGAGCCTTGCTTTGGGCTCAGTGTAGAGTTTGTGGGATTCTCTCTCTTCCTCCCCCATTCTGTCGATTTCTCTCTAAAATAAATCTTTAAAAAATAATGTGATAAAAAATAAAAATTGTAGTAAAATAAATGTTACATAAAATTTCCCATCTTAAAGTCTATATAGTTCAGTGTTAAGTACGTTCACATTGTTTTGCAGTCAATCTCCAGAACTCTTCATTTTACAAAACTGAAATCCTACTCATTAAAAAACTCCCTAGCCCTTCTCCCCACAGCCCAACAAACACCATTCTATTTTCTCTCTGAATTTGACTATTCCAGGTACCTCATATATGTGTGACTTGCTTATTTTACTTAGTGTAATGTCCTCAAGGACACGTGCCTCATACATGTTGTGTCACGTGTCAGAATTTTCTTCCTTTTTGAGGCTAGATATTAGTGCATTGTATGTATATACCACGTTTTGCTTATCCATTCATCTGTCAATGAGCATTTGGGTGGCTTCAACCTTTTGGCTACTGTGAATAATACTGCTGTGGACATGGGTGTATAAGTATCTTTTTGAGACTCTGATTTGAATTCTTTTGGGTATATTCCCAGAAATGGAATTGCTGGATCATATGGTGATTCTATTTTTAATTTTTTGAAGAACTGCCATGTTTTCCACAGCAGCTACACCAAATTACATTGCCATCAAGCATTGCACAAGCATTCCAGTTTCTCTGCATGCTCACCAACACTTTTTTTTTAATAGCCATCCTAATGGTTGTGAATGGTAGTGCTATTTCTGTAATATTGCATTCAGATTTATAAATAACATAGTTGGCCTCTATTAGACTTGGATTGTTTCTAAATTTTTATTGTAACCAATGTAGTAGTGATTATCCTTGGACATAAATCTTTGTTTAGAAATCTTATTTCTTCAAAAGAGACTTCTAGTAGCAGAATTACTGGTAAAAGTCTACTAACTTTATAAAGCATACATATTGCCAAATTGTTTCTAGAAAGATTATATCAACTAGTATTAAGATCTCTCATTGGCATTAAACATTTTTTCTTACATTTATTTAGACTTTATTCCCGTTTTAATTTCTTCCGTAGTTTGTATAGTCATAGTTTTTTGGTTTTGTGCTTTTCAAGTAATTTAAAACCTATTCAAAAGGTTTTTTTTTTTTCTATTCAAAAGTTTTATATGTATTATAGTAAAACCTTAGCCTTTGTGATTAGAACCATTGTTAGGGGATCCCTGGGTGGCGCAGTGGTTTGGCGCCTGCCTTTGGCCCAGGGCGTGATCCTGGAGACCCGGGATTGAATCCCACATCGGGCTCCCGGTGCCTGGAGCCTGCTTCTCCCTCTGCCTATGTCTCTGCCTCTCTCTCTCTCTCTCTCTGTGACTATCATAAAAAAAAAAAAAAAAAAACTCAACAGAAAATGAATAACCTGATTTAAAAAAGAACAGAGGAACTGGACATCTCACCAAAGAAGATATACAGATGGCAAATAAGCACATAAAAATCTACTAGCAATATGTGTCATTAGAAAATTGCAGATTAAACAATAAGATATTATTTAACACCTATTAGAATGGCCAAAATGCAAAACATTGACAGCACCAAATGCTGGCAAATCTGTGGAACAACAGGAATTCTCATTTACTGCTGAGATTGCAAAATGAATGATATAGCTCTTTGACAGTTATGCAGTTTCTTAGAATCTAAACATATTCCTAGCATATGGTATAGCAATAGTGCTGATGGTATTTACTCATAGGTGTTGAAAATTTATGTCCACTCAAAAACCTGCACAAAGATGTTTATAGAAGCTTTGTTTATAATTTCCATAGCTTAGCAGCAACCAAAAAGTTCATGAAGAATAAATTAATTGATATATTCATACAATGGAATTATTCAGCACTTTTTTTAAAAAGCTATCAAGACATGAAAAGATGTGGAGGAACCTTAAATGCATATTACTAAGTGAAAGAAGCCAATCTGAAAAGGCTACTGGCTATGGTTCCAACTATATGGCATTCTAGGAAAGGCAAAACTTTGGAGACAGTGAAGAGATAAGTGGTTGCCAGGCATCGGGATGGGAGGTATGAATAAGTAGAGTATATAGGAAACCTCTGTATCTTCTATTCAAGTTGGCTCTGAACCTAAAACTGCTTTTAAAGTCTTTGAAAAATAATTCAGTACTTCTCTTCCTCAAATGTCATCATAAAAATGAGAGAAGACAAGTCACAGAATGGAGAAGATATTTCTTCCTTGGAAATAAGAAACATTGAAAAGATGTTCAGCCTCATTAGTGGTTAGGGAAAGGGAAATTAAAACAACTCTCCCCATAAGATTCATTTTACACCCACTTGATTGGCAAAGATTAAGGAGTTTTGATAATTCCAGGTATTAGTGCATATATAATGGGGACTCTTAAACAGTAACGATGGTGAACACTGATTCGGGGAAAGTCTGGTACTGTTTTGTAATAACAGTAATAAACCCATTATATATTAACATATATTACGTATGTTTAGATGAAAACTATTTCCAAAGAGAAATTAGTGAAGAAGTCATTGTTTCACATTTTTACAAATCTCTTTCATGTCTGACTTAGTAGAAGATGAATTTTCATATCTGCTTCACATATTCCATTAATCCACAGGGCGGTGCTGACATCACACATCATGTAGTCTCTGGAATAGCTCACTATCCACTCTTGATTGAGAAAAAGTCAAACAATCTCTAAGTGTTGTTATTAAATAGTTTTGGCTTTAGCCACACTTTGAGAATTGCTGTGCCAGAGAGTAGGCTACTAGCCATGGGTATCTAGTATGTTGTAGGTAGCAGTTGTTATTTAAAGGGATGATTTTAAAGAAGGGAAATGAAATCATCTTGATAGAGAATGAGAGCTTCCACTATGTAACAACTATTTAAATCTCAGCCTCAAATAGCTCAATTGTACTTTGCATGTTTGCTTCAAGAAGAAAACATAATAGAGTTCCTTCTGTTTTCCCTCCTCAGGGGCAACACTATCATATACATTCCTCTAGTCTGAAGAGGCTTTTGGGGGGGGAGGGGGCCTTGTGTGTGTGTTTTAAGTTTTTAGTTAAGATTTTATCTTTTTTTCTGTTGATTTTGTTTATTTTTCCAAAATAAGCATTGGATTTTCTCTTTCAGAATCCTTGAAAAATGGCTCTGCTGCAGATGGTGGGAATAAAGTTTATTCTTTTCAGAATAGAAAACACTCTGAAAAGATGGCTAAATTAGGTATGTTGCTTTTTCTAAGGTGTATTTAGCCACATGCCCCACAATTATGTTATTACATTCCTGAAAAGAATGAGGAGATGTCATTTTATCATGTTTTCAAGCATACATAAAGTCAGTGTTTCATCCTCAGATGTGTCTTCTGTTCCCAGCTAGGTTTTAAGCTTCTCATAGGAATCCTGTCTTTGTCTTCTTCTCACGTGTAGCCTAGGTTCTGAACAAATTTTTAAGTATATGGGTTACTTAAGTCACAGGTACTCTGAATTTATTGAATAATAATTTTATACTATATATAGAATAATGTTTGTGTTATAGAAAACTATATAAAATTGTTACTAATGGGCTCTTGTAACATTTTCTTACTCAATTTACCACTTACACTAATTATACATGAATTACTAATTTTTAGAAAACTAAACTAAAATGAATTACATGTAGCATTAAATTAAACCATCAATCCAATTAAAATTAAAATTCAGATTGCACTTTATTTGGGTCCTGTGGGGTGTGAGGGGTCAGATTTAAAAGCTTTGAGGAAGGGAAATAATATGTAAAAGCAGTTTGAAAATTAAGGAAGTCTGTAAGTATATAAGGTTCAGGAACACCAAGATGTTAAGAGCAAGGGAATAATAATTAGCTACCTGGTAAAATGTAATAGTTGTTTAATAGGGTTTATTGTCTATAATTATGGAATACCAACATATATTTCTGAAGTGGTATATTTTTATGCAGTCATTCTGGTTAACCAGGTAATCATTCAAGATCAAGTGAAAGGGATCCCTGGGTGGCGCAGCGGTTTGGCGCCTGCCTTTGGCCCAGGGCGCGATCCTGGAGACCCGGGATCGAATCCCACATCGGGCTCCCGGTGCATGGAGCCTGCTTCTCCCTCTGCCTGTGTCTCTGCCTCTCTCTCTCTCTCTGTAACTATCATAAACAAATAAAAATTAAAAAAAAGATTTAAAAAAAAAAAAAAAGATCAAGGGAAAAACATCGGTGTTGACATTGATGAGGAACATAGAAGAGTAATTATAAGACCTATGTTATAGAACATAATAATATTTAATCATTTGCAAAATTCAGTTTTTCTGAAAGGTATAGTATGAAATTTATTAATTTTGAAATTAATATGGTAGTAAAATTTACATTAACTGATCTGTTTCTTAGTGTTTATAATCTCCTTGAAAGTTTTCGTTCTGTAAAAATGACTGTATTCTGTGTAGGATCTCTGAGAAACCAGAGAAGAAATGCTAAAACAATTATTAGGGAAAGTAGGACAAAGAACATTGGAGAAAGAGAACTCATAGTGAAGAGATGAGCCCCAGAGGAGTAATCAAGTAGAAATTCTCCAAGTAGATAATCAACATGCATATAATAACCGTGATGTATGTCTTACATTGTATGGGCTGCAAGAAACTTAAGTATTGTTAGGTTGTGCATTTGTTTGGAAGCGGGAGAGCTAGGTTCTTGTCTCACAGAGTTGAAAAATAAATCTTGGAGACAAAAGAGAGTGAGTATAGTGATAGAGTTTTATTAAGCAAAAATGCAGAAAAAGCTCTTAGGAGTGAGAAAGGTCCCAACAGGGTTGCCACTGAGGGCTTTTAGGGTTGGTCTTTGATTGAAGGCTAACCAGGGAACTTAAAACTTATTCTCTACTGACAGCATCTTTATGTAAGCAATAATACTTAGTGATAACTTAGTAATACTAGTGATAACACCTTTATTGGCTTACTTCTTTTTAGGGTCTTTGTATTTCCTGTTGACCATAGGTGACTGTCTTAAAAAAGATACCCCCCCCCCCCCGGACACCTATAGCAGAGTGGTCTGATGTGTTCACCTATCTCTGGTTTCCTTACACCTCTGCATTTTTTGGGATTTCTGTGAGCCTGATCACATAGCCACCTATCTATCCCTCCTACCCAGCCCTGCCTGTCCCTTACTCATTATCATCATAAATGAAAGAAATATACAGTCATGAAAAGATGGTTTTCTGGATAATTTGAGACTGATCATACTTTCTAAAATCTGTGTTAAGACTCCTGTTTAGTTGTGATGCTTTTTAAAGAGTTTCTTTGACTTACTAAGTATTGTTGCTAATTGTGTTTACATCTAATTGTATCAATGAAGTAGAAGGCCTTAGTATATTTTTTAAAGGTCTTATTTGAGAGAGAGCACCAGTACCTGCACACATGAGTGTCGGAGGGGCTGAGGGAGAAGCAGACTCCTCACTGAGCACAGAGCCTAATACAGGGCTTGATCCTGGGTGGCTGAGATCATGACCTGAGCCGAAGTCAGACACTTAACGAACTGATCCATCCCAGCACCCCAGCCTTCGTGTTTTTAAAATAACTCTAACATGCCATAAAATCATATATTACTGTGTATAAATGATTAGATATAATTGGGCTGACAAAGACATAGGACTAGAAATACACTCAGAGTTAGATTGGGAGGCTTTTAAAAATACGTGTCTGAGATGAACAAATGAATGCAAACAAAAGAACAAAGGTAGCAATACCAAGTAGAGGACAGTAAGGACTTCAACGAACTTGTAGAAAGGGATGACTTTAGGGAAATTAAAAATAGATTGGTTGATAGGATAAATAATATCCTAATGAGAAGGCAAACAAGATTTTAAAATTTTATTTTAAAATTTCCGATATATTGCAGACCAATGTGTAAAATATAATACAAATGAAAAGCCACAGAATATATTCCTCAATTTTTTATTAGTAGATTCAATAGCCATACATGGATAATGTCTCATGTTCTTTTTCCTCTTTAATTCTTCCTTTTCCTTTCTTTTTCCTTTTGAGGTTTGTAGTTTATTTAAAAACAGAATTTTTCCATGTTTCAACATATAACCAAAATGATCCCAGGTAAATTACTTTGTGTTTACATGACTTTTTGTTGATGTGAAGTTTTTTTCCTGTCCTTTGGATCAATAGCCTTTAATCCAAAGGTACTATATTCTTCTGATATAAAGAGAAATGGAAGGCCTGATCTTCATGAATACTTAGAATGTTGCAGAGGAGACAGCAGAGAAGAAATGGAATAATTACCAACAGTAGCTGGGGGCCAGAATAATGTCATAGAACAACCCAAATGGAGGAATAATTTCAAAGAAAGATGAAAAAACAAAAACAAAACCTCCCAGTGAATGATACAGAAGACCGAGGAGGTTAGTTAAGAAAAAAGAGGGCAGTACTTTCGTGGAAGCTGTCAGGAGTATTTTAGATCAATTTCAAGTTTGGAAGATAAAACTGTGAAACAGGTTAGGAAGAGTTTGAGTCAGTAAACTGGCTTTAACTAACACAAATTCAGCTATACTTTCTCCTTTACCAAAAGATGGGGTGAGGTGCCTGGGTGGCTCAGATGGTTGGGCTTCTGCCTTCAGCTCAGGTCTTGATCTCTAGGTCCTGGGGTTAAACCCTGCCCCGGGCTTCAGTTCAGCAAGGAGTCTGCGTCTCCCTCTGCCTCTCCCCCTGCTTGTGTTCTGTCTGTCTGTCTCTCTAATGAATAAATAAACTCTTTTAAAAGGGGAGGGGACAGGCAGCCCCGGGTGGCTCAGCGGTTTAGCGCCACCTACAGCCCAGGGCCTGATCCTGGAGACCCGGGATTGAATCCCATGTCAGGCTCCCTGCATGGAGCCTCCTTCTCCCTCTGCCTGTGTCTCTGCCTCTCTTTCCTCTCTGTATTCTCATGAATAAATAAAATCTTTTAAAAGGGGGGGGGGACGGACATAATTTGAATAGCATATAACTTTTTTCTCCGTGAACAGTGTGCCTTTGTGTGTTAAGTTAGGAAATGCAAATCTATTCCTTAGGCGCCATTCCACAGGCTTCTCACACTGTTGAGAAAGTATCTTTAAAGGTAAAGATTATAGTTTTCATTTAAAATTGCCCCCTTGTGTTTAGAAGCCAACTATTTAATCTGATGTTTAGTTGAAGAAACAGCCCTCTGTTCAATGCTATATTTTACATATTGTTCACACGTATTACAGAGTTTTAGACACAAAATATACCGCAGGTGATAGGAGATTTAAGAGTTTTTAAAGCATAATTTTAAATATACATAGCTTCCATTTGGTTTTAGACCCTGTTTTCTGGCCATTCTTTCTTACCCCTAGTAAAGATATGCCTCAAGTATACTTATGATAAAGAAATGCAAAGAGTCTAAAATTGTTGATGGAGAGGAGAGGGAGAGAGAATGACAAATATAGAAACCAGTAAGGTGGGGGATCCCGGGGTGGCTCAGCGGTTTGGCACCTGCCTTCGGTCCAGGGTGTGATCCTGGAGTCCTGGTATCAAGTCCCACATCAGGCTCCCTGCATGGAGCCTGCTTCTTCCTCTGCCTGTGTCTCTGCCTCTCTCTCTCTCAGTCCGTGTCTCTCATGAATAAATAAATAAAATATTTATAAAAAAAAAAAAGAAAACAGTAAGGTCAAACTGTTTATTTGTATTTTCTTGAAACACCTGTAGATAGTGAAAGAAGACTTAAGATGATTGGAATACAGCAAATAAAGATAAAAGAGGCAGTACTCTTGATATGGGTAGATTTATTATCTTCCTGGTAACAGAGTAGGCAGGTTTCTTGTTTTTCGCTCCCCTGAGAATTTATGTAATTGAGGGGCACCTCGGTGGCTCAGTTGGTTAAGTGATGAGTCTTTATCTCGGCTCAGGTCTCATGGGTTGTGGGATTGAGCCCTATTTTGGGCTCTGTGTTCAGTTCAGTCTGCTTGAAGATTCTTTCCCTCTACCCTTTACCACCCCCCGCAAGCGTGCACCATCTCCCTCTCTAAAATAAGTCAATGAATCTTTATTTAAAAAAAAAAAAAAAGAATTTAAGTGAAATAAAGCTATTTCCCCCCTTCATGTGCTGTCATCCATTAAAGATTGTTTTTATACTTTTTGTCTGTTTACAGCTTCAGAACTAGCAAAAACACCAAGAAAAAATGTTTCGTTGAGTTTGAAGAATGATCCTGAAATTACAAACATTCCTCAGTGTAGCAAGGGTAAGATTTTACCTCAGTTCTTTGAATAGAGTTCTCATAGTTGCTTCAAGTTATGCTTCTTTTCCTTGTCTAAATGCATTAGTATATAATTCTTTTCTGTTGTGAAAATTCATTCAACAAAACGCAGTTCATACCCAGTTTGTGCCTTAGTATACCCATATTTAGCTATTGATAAAAGGGAGAAATGTGGGCAGCACCGGTGGCTCAGCGGTTTAGCGCCGCCTTTAGCCCAGGGTGGATCCTGGAGACCTGGGATCGAGTCCCACGTCGGGCTCCCTGCATGGAGCCTGCTTCTCCCTCTGCCTGTGTCTCTGCCTCTCTGCCTCTCTCTCTCTGTGTCTCTCATAAATAAATAAATAAAATCTTTAAGAAAAAAGGGCGTGGGGGGAGAAATGTCTGTGCTGATTGAAGTTGTGCAAATCGACAGGGCCAACTAGAAACACTTAAACTGCTATTATCGTTTGCTTAAGTTAGCCAAATGTTCGTGGAGGATTTGCTTTGCTACACTCTATTTGAAATAAGGCTTTGGGAGTTTGGAAGTCACAGTTTGTAGAGAATTGTGGAGCAGTTAAATGAAACTAGACCATGATGAAAACTGAAGTACTTCTGGTAAGTAATGCCTCTTTATTTTATTCTTTAGGGCATTCTGCTTCAGACAACGTTCAGTTGAAGGTAAGCTATTTACTGAAAACAAGCAAAAACCTTAGTGCTACAAAGATAGGATGAAAAATAGTCACTTCATCTCTTATATAGTGCTTTATAATTTACAGGTATTTGCCAATTAGACACCTTACATTAGATGAAGAATCTGAAGTTTAGAGAGGTGAAGTGACTTGTCTTAAGTTCATCTAACTGGGAAGGACAAAAGGTGAAAAATGAAGCCAGATCTTCTACACCCAACTGCTAAGCCCTCTCTCCCTCACTTCCTCCCTCCCCCACTTCTTTCCTTCCTTCCTTGAGAGACACAGAGAGAGGCAGAGACATAGAGGAAGAAGCAGGCTTCCTGCGGGAGTCTGATGTGGAATTAGATCCCAGTACCCTGGGATCACAACCTGAGCCAAAGGCAACACTGAACAACTGGGCCACCCAGATGCCCCTGCTATGCCAGATAGTTCTGTCAGAACTATTCGGGATATTTTCACCTCAGTAGTGCTGGCCTGGAAATTTTATGGGTTTTGTTTTGTTTTGCTTTTATATATAATATTTTGTTGTTTCTTGAGAGAAATCCATTAATATAGCCTTTCATAATTTACGTTTGAAAACAAAGTTGGTTTTGGTAAGTTTCTTCTAGGGTAGCTGAGGAGAATTGACCATTTTTATCCTCTCCTTTGTGTTTTTGTGATTTTGTTTTCTCATTAATGCTTTGTCAAATGGCCCTATCTGGATATGAGCAAACCCATATGGGCATGGATGAATCCAGGACAATGAGTATGTGAGTGATGAGTGTGTCCAGGCCTGGTGGCCATAAACTTAGACTTGCCTGGAATTGCTCATAGACTAAGTTTGGGGAACCCCTTATAAGAAAGTGAGTATAGACATTCAGGGCCATGGTTATGGCCTGTGTACAGATGTCCTATTTAGGCAAGTCTAGATGTGAGATTAGACATGTTAGATAGAGCCTCTTTTGTCTTTAATAATGCGTTTTTCCTGTATTATATCTTATATACTGTATCACTATGAAATAATAAAACTCATTCCATAATCTAGTCAAGAATATAGATATATTAATGTACATTGTTTTTTAAGATGTGAATTATAACACATAAATGGATTTTGTCAGTTCCCCCAAGAAACCATCAGAAAACCTACTACAGTAAGATGCAATATCAAAGTGGCAGTTTTAGTGCACTGTCTTAGAAGGGAGATTTCAGGAGAGAATATGTATAGGGCTTGGGGATCTGGACTCAAAAGGCTTAAGGCAGATGGAAAACTGATATATATGAGACAAAATTCATTACATGATACTTGAGGATTGGTGGACATAGTAAAAAGAGGGTCTTGAACCGAGTCCTGATGAATGAATTATTGTTTGCCCTGCTGAGTAATCTATTATTCTGATGGGAGAAAAGGTTGCCCAAATGAGCAAATTGTCTAGATAAGTTAGTTTGCATAAATTTCTGTACCAAACACTGAAGTTAATTATTTGTTTATAGCCTTACCTTTTTGAGCAAGAATTTTCTTAAATGGTTATTTTGATACAATTGTTCTTTTTTTTTTTTAATTTTTATTTATTTATGATAGTCACACACAGAGAGAGAGAGAGAGAGGCAGAGACACAGGCAGAGGGAGAAGCAGGCTCCATGCACCGGGAGCCCGACGTGGGATTCGATCCCGGGTCTCCAGGATCGCGCCCCGGGTCAAAGGCAGGCGCCAAACCGCTGCGCCACCCAGGGATCCCTACAATTGTTCTTATACCTGATAATTAAGCTATATGAACACAGACTGTTTTGACTTTCAGTCTTGAGATGAGTTTAGTAGGATATGATCTGCAGTTGTTTTTTTTTTAAAGATTTATTTACTCATGAGAGACACAGAGAGAGGCAGAGACATAGGCAGAGGGAGAAACAGGCTCCTTGCAGGGAGCCCGATGTGGGACTCGATCCTGTGATCACACCCTAAGGTGAAGGCAGACACTCAACTGCCGAACCACCCAGGTGTCCTGATGATCTGCAGTTTTAAAACTCAGATAGAATAAAATTGAAAATGTCTGTTTCATATTATTTCATTATAATTTGTTTCAGTTATATTTGTTTCAATTATATACTACATGCATATGTCGATCAAGATGTACAAAATATAAAAACTTTTTAAGGATCTGGATCAAAAAAGTTTATATACTTTATAAACCTATTGGGCTCAGTTCATTTATTATAGTACTATTCTTAACATCCCAAATCAAAATGTATTAACATTTGAAACTAGCACCAACAACCTATCACAACAAATTTTAAATTTTTCATCATAATTTCACATTGCCAAAATCACAAAGGGTACTTTATCTTTTTATCAGTACTATTAAAAATAACATTGGGCATTTTAATGTGCTAGAAATGTATTGGTGTTAGATTATTATATTCTGTGAGGAAAAGAAAAAGATTTTATGCTTCTGTAAAGTGTTTAAAAATTTTAAAATAATGGAATAAAATTATGTAGATCTCATTCTCTCATCTTCACATAGGGTAATATATTAACGCCAGTAAATTTCAAGCACATTAAAGGGCCCACTGCCATATGCATAGGAGTGCCTATATCTTCCCTTACTCATTATCAATGGATATTATCAATTTTTTAAAAAGAAATATTCTAATCTGATGGGTGAAAGTCATCAAAATGTGAAAGGCACATTCATATACTTATGTTTTTTCTTTACATAATAAAAAATACTTTATAGATGTGTGGAATACTACTTCTAGAATCACTTTGGGAATCCTTTGAAATTTGTTGTATTGTTTTTGTTGCTTTCCACTGTTTTTTCCTAAGGGCCATTTGTCATTGTCTTCTGATTCAAAATTAATCTAATGAAAACAAAATATTTTTCTTTCCTAGCCTCTTCACTCATCCATCATTAATTTCCATGTCATCATTATTATTTAATTATTGAAACTGTATTGCTTTATTTTTAAACAGAACAATGATAAAAGTGAATTTCTATCAACAGCACCTAGTGGTCTAAAGAAAAGATTAATAGGTATGTATTTCTTTTTAAACTGAATCTTTATAAAAAGCACCTAAACCATGGGCAGTAATGGTTAAGTGTGTAGGTTCTAGTCTTAGACTGTTTTGTTTTTTTTTTTAAGATTTTATTTATTTATTCATGAGAGACACAGAGAGAGAGAGAGAGAGGCACAGGCAGAGGGAGAAGCAGGCTCCATGCAGGGAACCTGCCGTGGGACTCGATCCCAGGGCTCCAGGATCACACCCCAGGCTGAAGGCCATGCTAAACCACTGAGCCACCAGGGCTGCCCCTAGACTGCTTTTTTTTTACTCTTTGGCTTGCCACTTCCAGAGACTTGTCTGTGGTTCAGGTTTTTTCATTTGCAAAATAGGGATAATAATGGTACTAGCCCTGGAATTGTTCTGAGAGTAATGGAAATAAAAGATGTCAAAGTGCTTGGTATAGTGCTTGACCTTGATATATTTCACAGGTGTTAGCTGTTATCTTTTTTTTTTTTTTTAAGATGTGTTCATTTTAGACAGTGTGCATTGGTGGGGGGGGGGGGGCGCGGCAGGAGAGGAAGAGAGGAAACAGACTTTGCTAAGCAGGGCTTGATCTCATGACCCTGAGGTCAAGACCTGAGCCAAAATCCAGAGTAAGTCGGCCGCCCAACTGACTGAGCCATTTAAGGTGCCCAAACCTTTTTTTTTTTTTTTTTAAGTGAGCTCTAGGCCCAACATGTGGCTTAAACTCATGGCCCTGAGATCAGGAGTTGCATGCTCCACTGACTGAGCCAGACAGGTGCCCCCCTATTATTTTTTATTATTATCACTACTTCTTTTCATGAAAGAAAGGATAGCACTTTATCTTTTACATTATAGTAAGTGGGTACTGAAGTTAGTTAAAATGTCTGCCTAATAAAATAACATGCCTTTTAGGTTTTTCTTTCTGAGACAGTTTTGTAAGTGGTTCTGTTGATTTACTTAAAAATTTTATAATGAAACCATTTTAAATATTCACAGTTATACTGAATGATACCACGCCAAGTAAATAGACATGGTCCATCCTGCCTTCTGGGAAATTAAAAATAGTTCTAGATTTTCAAATATATAACTCTAGAGCAAATGACTTTGTTTACTTTTTATATTTCAGAAAGATGTCAACTCCTTTCTTGAGGTTGACCCGACAGTAATACAGCCAACATTGTTAAATCTATATGCAGTAGCCTTTTCTTTTCAAGGCATAGATTTCAGAGAGCATTTAATAATTACATTTTTAATGAACATAAAAATGTAATACTAAATGATTAGATATCTGAAGCAATAAAAGATGATATATGCAGTTTTGATTATTATTTTACATCAGGTACAGTTATCCTGTTTTCCCTCCTTACCCCAAAGACTCATCCTTTTGTGAGAGAAGCTGTAAACTTCCTTGTCCTCAGTTACCACCATACAAGTAGGAAATATCCATGTAAATGAGCTAGAAGCATTTTCTGGTTCCTCCTGCATCTACCATGGGCAGCAGTCAGTGCAAATATGAATCTGCTAAGGTATATGTGCCCACAAAATCAGGCCTCTATTTTTCTTCCTTTAGATCTACATTTATTATATGCTGACCCTAGATATCCTGAAATATATCTGTTGTTCAAAATTAATAACTGATTCGTTAAAGTTATTTCACTCATATTGGAAGTTAACTTTTTATAATAGTTTTATACTTACTGTGTTGGGTGTAAAATTAGTTTTATCCTTTATGAGTATAAAACTAGCTTTAATATTTCTGGGGAGTAGTGGAGGTTGCTATGTTTTTTGTTTTCTTTGTTTTTTTAATAAAAAATCAGCTATGGGATGGAATGTGCCTGTGTATTAGTAGTACTTAGAATAGTAACTACCATTTATTGAGTCAATTATGAGGGTATTTTCTGTGTAGGCAGCAACAGAAAATTCTACAACAGTGGCTTAAGCTATAGACATTTAGTTATCTCACATAATGAAAAGTCTAGGGATGCACAGTTCCATGGTTGAGGTGACTCAACAGGTCACCTATCTTCTTGGCTCTGCTACCAGCATTTTTCATCTTTAGGTTTGATGCTTCATATTGCAAAATGGCTTCTTTGCCTTTAAGCTCTTGGTATAAATAAGGGCCTTTCCTTCCATAAGTGCAAGAAATCTTTCCCAGAAGCTTCTAGCAAATTTCCCCTCACGTTTCATTGGTCAGAGGGTTACATAGCCAATCCTAGTTACAAAAGAGGCTTGGAAAACAAGTGTCAGGCAAACAAAAGAAAATTACCGTGATTATTTATCCCTTAGGTTGAGACACATTGCCACACTTTACAAAATTGGAGTACTGTTAGCAAGGAAGAGGGCAAGAAATGATACTAAGTATGACTGGCAGTTTCTGCCATGGTCCTCGGGTGTCCGGCATTGTCAGTTGCTTTATATACTTTCAGTGTGGTCTTCACAATGGTTCATTAAATTAGGCACTGTGATCCTCATGTGATAAATGAAGAAATTGATGCTCAGAAAACTTTAGCTCTGGGGAAATCATCAGCAAGTAATGACAAAACCAGGAGTGAAAGGCTCTTATTTCAAAGTCTACTTTCTTTTCATTACCCTTCAGTGCCTCTCCTGTCAAACTGTCAGATTTTTCCCTATTGCTTTTCCCCCACAGTTCCGAGGTCTCATTCTGACAGTGAAAGTGAATATTCTACTTCCAACTCAGAAGATGATGATGGGGTTGCACAAGAAAATGAAGAGGACACTAATGAAGTCATATTGAGCCAAAAGATTCCGTCACAGAATAGAGCTGTTTCAGCTCCTGTTTGCAAAGAAACACCTTCTAAGAAAATGAAAAGAGATGAAACAGTAAGTAGAGGCTTCAGCCTTAAAGAAAAATTGTATAATATCTTAAAGCTAAGCTACCCTAAGAGAAGAGATTCAAATTGGGGAATCAATAATTTTTTTTCTTCTGTGTATTCTCAGTCTTTCACATAAATGCCCATTTGTGTCTATATAGTTTCATTTTTGTAACATTGTTGATGTATTCAAGTCAGTATAAGTAGTAAGTGTATATAGTTTCATTTTTGTAACATTGTTGATATATTCAAGTCAGTATAAGTAGTAAGTGAAGTGGCTGTGAATCCACATGGAGTTGTTTGGAAGAACCTTGTAAGACTGTGGCCTGAGGAAAAGCTAACTATCTGGTGTTCTGTGTGTAAAGACTCAGAGTAGTCGAGGAACCCTACTGCTTGTAAGGTTTTGCATCCCTTACTACCATGGAGAGTAGTCCTGCCTCAAGTCCACAGAACAAGTAGTGAGCCATTTTACTGGACTAGTAGGCAAATCTTTTACTTTGCTGTTGATGTCTTCCTCATTTTCAGCTCTTCTACTGTACTAATATTAAAGGATTTGTTAGAACTGTGTGAGGCAACATGAAAGTCCTGATAGGTAAAACTCCTTTTCTTTTGAAGTCTAAATGGAAATTTTATGTTGGAACTGAGTAATCGTTTTTGTAAACAGACTACTTCAGTCGAGTCATTTCTTTGATTTTCATGGTCTTAAGAGTTCCTTAGTTTTACTGCTAGAATTAAATGTCCTTGGTGCTTAATCTGATTGTTGCTTCAAAAGGAAAATACTGCCAAATAAAGAATTTCACATATCCTATTTTATGCTAATGTTACTGTCTAGTTTGATATAAAACAAATATTTGAAACTAAGAATTGGTTTTGCTCTGTTCATTTTCAGAGTGATTTGGTAGAAGAATATTTTGAAGCTCATAGCAGTTCAAAAGTTTTAACCTCTGACAGAACACTGCAGAAACTAAAGCGAGCTAAACTGGATCAGGTATGTTGCAAGGAATGTTACTTCTACTTTTTTTTACTGTGAGCTAGAAAACATACTTCATAAACAGATTTGAGTGACTTTACACAAATAGAATTATTGTCCTGATAAAATAAAACACAAATTGATGTGACATAATAACTATTAAATATTTTATAAAATGGTAAGTGGTTCACTTGAATTGTTTGACATACTATAATTACATTTTTTTCTCTAATTTGTCATTTCTTCAGGGTAATCATCAGGGCCGTAGTTTCTTTGATATCCATGTAGCATTAATATCTGTTATTCTTTAACCCACATCTTCATTGAACTGTACCTTGGTCGTAAAATGGACTGTGACCTTTTAGTTAGGAACCTTGCAAAGAGCAGAGGAAATCTGCTTCTTGATATGGGAAACTGCTCAAGTGCCATAAGATAAGAAGGGTACTATATACTATGGTTCTCATATCTCATTTTATAAAAAATACCTGTTATACTCAGGGTTTTGACTGATACCACCCTAAGAGGGAAGACAGACCTATTTGAGAAAATCTTCGAGTAGAAAGTGATATGATGGGATCCCTGGGTGGCTCAGCGGTTTAGTGCTGCCTTCAGCCCAGGGCATGATCCTGGAGACCTGGGATCGAGTCCCACACTGGGCTCCCTGCGTGGAGTCTGCTTCTCCCTCTGCCTGTGTCTCTGCTGTCTCTCTCTCTCTCGGTCTCTCATGAATAAATAAATAAAATCTTTAAAAATAAAAAAAAGAAAGTGGAATGATCATCTGAGTCAGGAAAAAATTATTATTGGCTCAGAATATTGAGACTTACTCCTTGCAAACTAGAATTTTTGTAATTTTCCAAGGTATACAGGGCTTTTTGCAGATACAGAAGAGGAGAGAATATAGGGTAAGCTGCTATGACCTGGAAGACATGATGCTTTGTGGTTTTTGTTTTTGTCACTTGGCTTATTGGTATTGAGACTCAGAGCAGAGATTGGCTGAAAACATGTCAAGAAGCCAAGTTATTCCAGGAAAAAGATGGCACTAACATCTGCTTAGTGCATATATTTCTATATAAGCAACATGGGAGAAAGGTAAATGGATCTAGGGTCAAAGCAGGACTCATAGGACTGAAATTCAGAAAGACCTCTAAAATGAAAGGAACACTTATTACCAATAATGACAGAAGGGAAGGTCGTTCACTGATTTTGGACATAGCTAACCAGAACAATCTCAGTAGCATGTGTCATTCAGCATTTATTTCTTTTGCCTACAGGTCAGCCGGGGGTTGGCTGATCAAACATTTGCTCCGTATGTCTCCCTTCCTTTTTGGACCAGCAGGCTAGCTGAGGCATGTTCTTATTGCAATGGCAGAGATGTAAAAAGTGGAAAAACATAAGACCTCTTACAGCCTGGGCTCAGATTGGCCCAGTATCACTTCTACCTCATTCTAGTGGTCACAGCAAATCATGTGGCGGAAAACAAAGTCAAAGATCAGGGAACTAGACTCCACCTCTCTAGGAGGAGGCAAAGTCACAGGGCAGAGGATATGGATATGTGGAGTATTGAGGCTGATAGTGCGATTCTCTGCAGACACGAAAGTTTAACATTAAAGTTTATAGATAACTTCCCAGATCGAGTTCACACTCAAGTGTGAGTATGCTTTGATAATCTGAGATTAGATCTGAGTATAAATGATTACTGGAAAAGATATTCATCTGCTTTTCCAGGTTCTAAACTTCAGAAGGAATGTGGGAAAATGTGTACGTGTCCTGTTTCTCTTTAAGTGTGTGGATAAATGAAACCTATACAAGCCAGTATGCCTGGGATGCTGACTACAACTCTACCCTTTAGTATTAAAAAAAAATGTTTTTCTTAAGGGCCAGAATCATGGAAAGATGGTAGCACTAGGGTAAAATGCATATACAGCTTTTTTGCTAGAGTTTTCATTTCAAAAAGTGAGCTATGTTTGATTCACCAGCATGAATTTCCAAATTTTGGGTACAGGTACAATGTACCCTCCTTAGTTTATTTACATTATTGTTTAAAAAATGTTGTCACGAGACGCCTGGGTGGCTCAGCAGTTGAGCATCTGCCTTCGGCCCGGGGTGTGATCCTGGAGTCCTGGGATTGGGACCCACACTGGGCTCCTTGCATGGAGCCTGCTTCTCCCTCTGCCTATGTGTCTGCCTCTCTTTCTCTGTGTCTCTCATGAATAAATAAAATCTTAAAAAAACAAACAAAAAAACACAAAACTTTGCCATACTGGGGCTCCTGGCTGGCTCAGTAGAGCATGTCACTCCTTGATCTTGGGGTTGTGAGTCTAAGCCCCATGTTGGGTGTAGAGATTACTTAAAAATAAAATTTTATTTTTATTTTAAGTACTTTCCATGCTCTTTCCACAACCCTAAGATCAAGACCTGAGCTGAGATCAAGAGTTGGATGCTTATCCAACTGCACCACCCAGGCGCCCCTTAAAAATAATATCTTAAAGAAAAAAATCAAAAAACTTTGTTGCACTTATCAAAGATGGATTTGTCAGAAGTAGATTTTGGGGGGTACCTGGCTGGCTCAGTTGGTAAGCATGTGACTCTTGATTTTAGGGTCATTGGTTTGAGTCCCTTGCTAGGGGCGGAGAACACTATAGTAAGTAAAAGTTTTTTTAAAAAAAATCAAAAGTTAATGAGGCATCTGGGTGGCCCAGTCAGTAGAATGTCCCAACTCTTGATCTCAGGTCTTGATCTTAGGGTTGTGAGTTCAAGCCCTATGTTGGCCGTGGAGCCTATTTAAAAAAAAAAAAAAAAAAAAAAAAAAAAGGTAGCTTTTGGAAAAGGAGCAGTGATTCAAGTTTACTTTACTAATGACTATGGTAAATTATAAAGAACCTTTAATATTTTCTGAGAATTCATATTTCACAGTTACCATCAGCTTTCACATTTCTTCAAATTCAATAGGTTTTTAAAAGTCTGTCTGGATTTGTTGTTAAAGGTGGGAGGGAGGTTTAATCTCCTTCTGGTAATGATCTTTTTAGAAATTAAAGCCTTATTGAAATTTATAATCACAGAAATGGTTCTAGACAAAACCTGGGAAATTCTTTACTATTACATATTTGTACTAAAAATGAGGTTTAAAAAATTTTAAGAAAACAAGGGTGCCAAGGTAACTTGGTGGGCTTCCAGCTCTTGGTTTTGGCTGGGGTTGTGATTTCAGGGTTGTGGGATCGAGCCCTGTGTCGGGCTCACACTAGGCATGGAGCCTGCTTAGAATTTTCTCTCCCTTTTTCCCTGCACTCATGCACATGTACTTACTCGCTCTCTTATCACACTCTCAAAAAAAATTTTTTTTTTAAGAAAACAAATATTTAAATCATACTTAATATTATGTGTATTCAGTTGATGATGCACTCATTACCAAACCTGATTAAAGTAATATTTCCACTAGTTTGCCTCTTCTAACCTCTACCTCTAATGAAATTTTTAGTTTGGATTGATTTTGATGTATGTGGTTTGAGAATGATTTTCTTTACTTTTTTTTTTTAAAGCAAACTTTGCGTAACTTGTTGAGCAAAGTTTCTCCTTCCTTTTCTGCTGAACTTAAACAACTAAGTCAACAATATGAACAATTATTTCATAAATGGATGTTGCAGTTACGGTACGTACTATTATTGCATACTGTTGTGAAATAACAACATGGATATGCCTGTGTTAAAATCAGAGCAATTTAATTTTCTTTTTGTAATCAACCAGATATTTTTTTCATATATAAAAATTTGAAAAAAATCCTAATTATATGACTCACATGTAGAAATGTCATATTGTATGATTCATCTCAGAAATTTTAGTTTTCAAGAAATGTGTCTATATTTATCAGATGTGAAAGCCATTGGTAAAATAAATAGCCCATCTTAGAATTCCAAGTTATTACTTATTAAAGTATTTGGAAATCTGATTTGTTAAGACTGACAAGATATATCAATTATATTTGAGTCCAGTTTTCCACAGCAAAGTTCCTAAAAAGAATATATATATTTATTTTAATCTCATTCTATTTTCATGTACTACAGATCTTCAAAATTTTGTGATGTCTGTCTGATAAACATTATTTTACCATTTTAAAATTATTTCTTAGATTATATTTTCAATTTTACTGTTTTTCAGATAACAGATTAAAATTTAAATTCGCATTAAAATAACTAAAAGAATAACTTTTTATTTTTACTATACTTTTATACTTTTATTAAAAAGGATCTTAGTGCTTAAAAACTATACTATCGTGAATGTGTACTCAGTCACTGATAAATAAGAAGGCAGATCTGCCAAGCAGTAAAAACAAATTGACACAATTTTCCCCATTGATGCTGGTTTTGCTTTTTTGTCAATAATACATCAAAGGGGTTATGCTTATCTTCCCTGCTAGGAGCTCAGCTTCTCTCAATAACTATTTATAGATAGATCTGTTCATTATAAATTGGCAAAGTAGCTCTTTACTCTGATCCTATCCTCTATAGTCCAGTTCCTCCATCTGTCAACCCTGATAATTTGTTGGGCTTTGCTTCCCAGCCTAGACTTTAGTCAGCTACTTCAATAGAAATTGCCAACTCTCTGAATAACCTTTTTTTCTGCTGCTGCCACCTTGCAGCAGAATGTGCTACGTGGGGGTTATTGCTTTTCTTTGATTTCTAGGCTCCCCTGAGCATCACGTAAATACTATTTCTGATTGACCTCTATAAACAATCATGAAATCGAGCTTTAGCTTTAGCCTTAGCGCTTTGGTGTTCTGGATCTTCTTAATCGCTTGGCTTTGGTTGCTTTTTGCATGTGAGTAACACCCATTGTATCTCTGGCCCACCCCAGATATCACTCCTCAGCAGCAGATACAGATATCTCAGTGTATATTTGAGGTTTCCATGTGGATGTCCTGTAAATAATTCAATATACATAAAATTTAACTCCTCTTTAAACCCATCATTCCCACCTGCCCCCTGCAACCTGGCACAATGGATGTCCCATTTGTGTTGTCGCCTATGCCAAAAAAATGAGGTATTCTGAAATACTCCCTTTCCATCACCTTCCACATCTAACCACTCTCCAAATTGATCGGACATGTAAAGCTCTTGACAACTTGTTTTTCTACACAACACCTAATTCAGGGCCATAGTCGTTGGTACTTCTCTCTCCTGTCTGTTCCCTCTGTTTAGCCAGGATGATCTTCCTGAAAATATCATGCTACTTTCCTACTTAAAACCTTTCAATTAACACCTGAGTAGTTAGTTTTAAATGGTCATTGTCCTTGAAATAAAATCTAATCAATGTCTTGGTTGCCTTAACAAAACCTTTGTGACCTGGCCTCTGCTTACCTTTCCTATTTAATCTCAAATAAATCTGCCTGAGCCTGTGGAATCGGTAGTGCCTTGTCCCCGCTGTTCTCCTTTCCCTCCAGCCCGCCATCACGTGAAAGGTAATAAAGAGCTGGAGAGAAAGCTACTGAAGTCTGGTGTACAGATAATAAAACTGTGCTTCTACAGTGTATGAGCTGGAAATCAATGTAATTACTTAGTCATCCTAGTCCTTTCCATATTCTTTATCAACTTAAAGAAACTAGTTGATTATAATAAATTAGGAGGTGCCGAACTTTAATTTCATGAATGCTATCTTTCCTAACAGCCTGGGGTTCAACATTGTGCTTTATGGTTTGGGTTCTAAGAGAGATTTACTAGAAAGGTTTCGAACCACTGTGCTGCAAGATTCCATTCATGTTGTCATCAATGGCTTCTTTCCTGGAATAAGTGTGAAATCAGTAAGTTTCAAAAATGTTAAAGGAAGCAACATTATATCTCCTGCCAATCCATACCCCTACATTAATGAGGATGCTACTTCTCATTCTGGAACATTGAGGTTTTTTTTAGCCTTTACACTAGTAGGATTACATATTACTTAAGATCGTGTTTGAACTCAGGGTTCTAGCTTTGAGTCCTCATCTGAATTTCCTACTTTGTAACTGATAAATATATTAAATCTTAGAGAAATGTTAGTTTTATTTACTATACCAAATACCAACAGTACTTCTCTGAAGGACAGGATTATGGAAGATTTTACTTTTATTATGCTCAGTGACACTTTGGTACTCTAAAAGTAGTAAGTTAATAGTTTGTAGTTTTAGAATACATTTATTATAGATCATTTTCAGTGCAAATACTCATGTTTCATCATTTGAAAACTAAACCTTTTGGTGCTGGCTATTAACCAATGCAGTATTCCTTTTTTTAAAATGTCTTTAATGTTTGTATCCTATTTTCATTGGTAGATCTATGGTTTTCTAATGTTTTCCATAATCGGGGAGGGATATTTTTGCTACCCTCCTATCTATACATCTTTGCCGTTCTTCCATGTTTCATTTTAGATATAACTTATGCCAAAAAAATGAATTAGGTATACTTAAGTACCAGTATAATTTTTTAAGTGGTTTTTCAGACTTGATGGGAAATCTAAATGCATTTTTAACTTCTAAAAAAGGACTGACTGTAGTTGAATTTATCCTATATGACAGAATGAGTAGTAATTGATGTACCTCTTGCACTTTTATGATACAGATCCTGAATTCTATAACAGAAGAAGTCCTCAATCATATGGGTACTTTCCGCAGTGTACTGGACCAGCTAGACTGGATAGTAAACAAATTTAAAGAAGGTAACATGAAATAGATGCTCTAGTTTTAGGGCGAAGCTAAGCATACACTTCTACTTATTCATGTACAGATCAACGGTCCCCTTAAAATGGATTGACTTACCATTTTTTTGACTTTATGATGGTGCAAAAGCAGTATTCATCCATTCACTAGAAACCATACTTTGAATTTTGATCTTCTCCTGGGCTAGTGATATGTGGTATATACTCTTCTCATGATGCTGGGCAGCAATAGTGAGTCAGCCACATGACCATGAAAGTAAATAACCGATAAATTTAAAACCATTCTGTTTTTCATTTTCAGTATTTTATTCAGTAAATGACATGGGATATTCAACACTTTATTATAAAATGGCTTCGTGTTTTTGCTCTACTGTAGGCTAATGTAAGCTTTCTGTGTGTGTTTAGGTGGGCTAGGCTTAGCTATGATATTTGGTAGGTTGAGTGTATTGAATACATTTTCAAATTATATTTTCAAGTTAGAATGGCTTTATTGGAACATATCCCCATCTGAAACCGATGAAGATCTGTATTATTGTATACAAAAATCTGGATTATATCAGTAATAACACTTCTTTCAATGCTGATTTAGATTTCTCTGAAATAATTTGTCCTTTCTTTTATCATGAAGTTTTTCTGTGAACTTGACTTATACCTAACAGGAATGATTTGCTCATACTCCTTGAATTTGTATAACCAAAAAAGCCTTTATCTCAGAATAGTTATCAGGTTTTACTTGGCCCATATGAAATGCCCCCAGTTGATAGGTGCATCTTTGGTATTGTTATAGTTGCATATTTTTAGAACACATTTTTTCTCTTTATTTGAAATAAATATCACTACATTTGAATAGTTTCATACATTAAAATCTGTGGAATGGAAAAAACCATTCTTTATTTTTGTGTGAATATTTTGGCTATGTGAGCATTTCAAGAAATTAAAAATAAAATTATTTAGAATCAAACAATTGCCACTTAGTCACTAAAGAATTAAAAGGAGTGGGGTGCCTGGGTGGCTGTCAGTTAAATGTCCAACTCTTGGTATCAGCTCAGGTCTCCATCTCTGGTGGTGAGTTCAAGCTCTACACTGGGTTCTACACTGTGCATGGAACCTACTTTAAAAAAAAAAAAAAAAAGGATGGGATCCCTGGGTGGCTCAGTGGTTGAGCACCTGGCTTCAGTCCAGGGAGTGATCTTGGAGTCCCAGGATCGAGTCCCACATCGGGCTCCCTGCATGGAGCCTGCTTCTCCTTCTGCCTATGTCTCTGCCTCTATGTATGTGTATGTCTCATGAATAAATAAATAAAACCTTCAAAAAAGATAAAAGGTATAACTTAATTTGATCTGATGGAGAATTTTAATAGTTTATATGCTCATGAGAGAATGCATGCCGAAGTCATTGTATGTATATATACATATATAATGCCTATTACATATTATTTATATAAAATATAGTTGTAATTATATAAATTGTAATTACATAAGTTATATAAAAGTATTTACATATGGGTATATAATTTGAATGTATATAATTACATCATTCATAATTATATATTATGCATGTGATATAAATGTCAATATATTAACATTTAAGTATAATTCAATTAATAGAAATATATGGGGACGCCTGGGTGGCTCAGCAGCTGAGTGTCTGCCTTTGGCTCAGGGCCTGATCCCGGATTCTCAGGATCGAGTCCCACATCGGGCTCCTTGCATGGAGCCTGCTTCTCCTCCCTCTACCTATGTCTCTGCCTTTCTCCCTGTGTCTCTCATGAATAAATAAATTTTTTAAAAATCTTAAAAAAACTACAGGCATTAAAAAAAATAGAAATATATGTTTATATGTAATTTAAATACTGTTGATTATGGTGGCTTCTAGAATTTTAAGGAACCTTAGACTTTCAGAATGTTACCAGAATCTTTGTTGTTATATTGTCTCTCTTGTCCCTCTAGCCCCAGTGAGAGAGAAATTTACTCTAAAAAGCTCATCCTCCATTATAAATGCTGAATGTTCTGTTTCTTACAAACTCCTGAGAAACTTATCAATGACTTTTAAACATGTATAGGACTTCTTCCATTATAAGAAAAGGCTTACCTGATTCTACTGCCCTTCCACACTATTTTACTTTCTTATTTCAATGATTTCAGAGTTTTTGAAGACATTCTGCTTTCTACTTTTTACCTATTGCCTTAATTTCTTACTTCTGTGCTACCTTAACTATATGCTTGAAGATCACCTGTAATTTTCTTACTAAACCACAGTTGACCTTGGCCCATCCTTTGTCTGTTTTTTTGCAGTATTTTAATGGTTTTGACAGCCCCATCCATAAATTCCTCCTTCACTGACCTTTATATATTTTTTTTACCTCTGACTTTCCTGATGCCTTGAGCAATAGCCTAAATCCCTCTCCCCCCCACCACTTTTTTTGTTTCCTTTGGCTTTTGTGTTAATCAGGGCATTCTATCTCTTAATGCCTAGTGAGACCTTTATGTGTGTGTGTGTGTGTGTGTGTGTGTGTCTCCGTGTCTCCCTCCTTTTCCCCTCTCCACTCCCACCTTACAATGCAACATGCACGGATTTACCTCCAACCCAAAATGCATCTTGCCTTATTTCCTGTGCTTTATTGAAACTGCTTTATGATCCGATTCAGGTGCTAACCATTCCAGTTAAGTCTCTAATACCCAGTCCCTACTGATTTTCAATGAATTTCCTTAAGACTTTAATAATATGTTGCCTCTTTTGAGACTGATATCTTCTCAAATAAATTACATACCTCTATGCAATATTTACTATGTCTTATGCTACTTTGATACATCTTTTAATACACAAGCATTGCGTGTGGTAAGGACTTCACAAATACGCTTTGTAAATAATAATTGAATTGTCTTTCCTTTAGATTCTTCTTTAGAACTCTTCCTTCTCATCCACAACTTGGATAGCCAGATGTTGAGAGGAGACAAAAGCCAGCAAATTATTGGACAGTTGTCGTCTTTACGTAACATATACCTTATAGCATCTATCGATCACCTCAATGCTCCTCTCAGTATGTACTACCATTTTTCTTTCTTGGGATACCAGTCTTAAAAAATTTCTAAGTGTTGTAAATCACAACATTTTTATTGTTTTTCAGTACACTTTTTTTGTTTGCATACTTAAAAGACACATATTGCTAAAAATAAAAGTGTCCTCAATCTGATTCAGAATATAATTCTTGGAAATAAAAATTAAGATTCTGTAGGTGGTGTTTTACACCTAAAGTTTCATGAAGAAGAGACCCAACTCTTATTTTGGTCTCTTTCTACTCTTTGTGGTATTGCAACATTTATTTTAATGCATTTAAATTCAGAGACTTTGTGATAATCCTTATAGAACAAAATGTTAAATTATTAAATTGTTTTAAAAGAATGCCTTGGTAGCACTAATATATAATATAATTTAATTATATTTAATTATTTTTCATTATTTAATTATATTTAATAATATAATATAATTTAAAATATAAATTATATTTAATACACAAAGCTTCATATGTTGATTGATAATGAAATTAGATTATGAGGTACTGATTTGGATAGGAAAATGTCAAAAATGAAAAATTTCAGGATTCATTTTTTAATACTTTCTGATTCTTTCCTAGAGTAGAATCTAGTAACATGACATTATGATAATTAGTACCTCCTGTTTTCTTTAATCATATGTTACAGTGTGGGATCATGCAAAGCAGAGCCTTTATAACTGGCTCTGGTATGAAACTACTACATATAGTCCTTATACTGAAGAAACCTCCTATGAGAATTCACTTCTGGTTAAACAATCTGGATCATTACCACTTAGTTCCCTAATTCATGTCTTACGAAGCCTTACCCCTAATGCAAGGTAAGAATGAAAACTATAGTTTCTTTTTTTAAAAAAGCTCTACATTTTACGATACGCATGAATAGCTTTTAATGGCAATTTTAAAGTCTCTAGTTTGCAGGATTAAGACAAATGGTTAAGAAAAAAAAAAAAGTTGGCAGTATTAAGGCAGACTCCTTAACAGTAGAGTTAGCATTTTTTTCTTTTTATATTTCCAAATAAGAGCATCTCAAGATAGTGGTCACTGGAAGAAAAAGAATTTTCATGGATTTTACTTAAATCTGATGGTAATTTTTAACTTTATTGAACACTGTGGTGCAAACATGGGGCCCTTTACATGAAATAATTCCCTTGATCCTCACTACCATTCTAAGGTAGATAGCAACGGGCACAGAGATTTTGATCCAAATCTGCCTGGCTCCCAAGTTCTTGCTCTTAAACATTTCTGTGTGATACCTCCAGTGAAGCCCCTTCAGCAGCCTCCCTATGAGGCGTATCTGAAATAATAAAAGCTAAGAAAAGCTGGATACAGCATAAAGTGGCAAAACATAAAGGGCATGATAATTAACCTGTTGAAAAAGGCTTTGAGTAGCAGCCCCCCCCCCGCAAAGCATAGAGTTCTAGAACAATTTTTAACAAGATGAAATATTTAAAAACAAGCCCTCTTGAGAATAAGTAAAGTTTGAAAAAAGATGAAAATACTATGTTCTTGGATGAGTGGACTGAGCATGTATTAGACCTATAAATTAATTCAAACATCAATGGTTGTGTTTTAAATCTGACACAAAATGTAAAGTTTCTTAAAGAAGCAGATGTGACTAGCAAAATCTTTTTCTCCCAAGAGCAGTGGCATAGATGGTACAATACTTTTCACTCTTTAATTCATCCCCTTTTGTTCCAAACACACAGCATAACAGATAAAATATAAAATGACCAAAAAACATAGATACAGCCTGGCTGAAAAATATGAACATCTCAATGAAACAATCATAAAGCAGTGAGAGAGCTGAAGGCAAAGCCCAGCTATGTTCTGGATCTAGCTAGTAGCATTGGCAACTGAGTTTCGCTTATGTAGGGTAACAGTGGTATGACAATACCACTTACTGTCCAGACCTCTAGATACTTTTGTTCAGGACAAATGCCAAACCAGACAGGATGGTAGATTTAAAAAAAAAAAAAAAAAAAACACGTAAAACAATACCATGTATATTATATAGTGCTCAAATTCATACGGCAGTATGGCTAAAATTTTAAAGTGTGCATGGAAGTGAAAAATAACCTGTTCAGGATGGCACTGACCCTATAAAAGAAGGTGGAGACTAGCTAGGGGGTGGGGTATGCAGGAAGTTTTCAAATCTTTTTTTTTTCTTCTGGCAATTTCTTTTGCATTGTTTGCTTTTTTCCTTCAAGATTTTGTTTATTTTAGAGCAAGGGAGAGCAAGAGAGCAGGGGAAGGGGCAAAGGCAGTGGGGTAGAGTCCCAAGCCGACTTTGTGCAGAGCCCGACACAGGGCTGATCTCAGAACCCCAAGACCATAACCTGAGCCGAAACCGAGAGTTGGATGCTCAACCAACTGAGCCACCCAAGCTGCCCTACATGTATTTGCTTTTTAAAAAACTTTGGGTTGTGAAGTAATTAGATTCACAGAAACGTACGGGGAAATCCTGAGCATCCCTTTCCCAACTGCCTCCCATCACAGTGCAGTATTAAAACCAAGAAACAGACATCGGCACCATCCATAGAGCTTATTCATGTTTACCTTTGATACGTGTAGCTACTTGCGTGTTTATAGCCCTGAGCAGTTTAGTCACATGCAGAGCCTTACAGAACTATTACCACCACAATCAAAATATTCATCTGTGTCCTCACCGGAAGACTTCCTCATGCTAGCCTCATGCTAGTAATTTAATGAATTTTGTTACTCTGTAAAGCTGCACTGTACACCTGAAGGTTAGCATTGCATTAATACTGAAATGTGCATTGGGTAGCTAATCAAAACTTCTATGTATCTGCAACAGAAAAAGTCTCACAAAGTCTCATTCAGTCTTACTATGCTTACTCTTAATGGACTAGTGCAAGCTGCTGCATATAAAGTTAGGAATCCATGCAATAGAAGTACTCTCAACACTGCTCTAAAGCAAGTAATTTTTAGTTCGGGGTACCCTCAACGTCTGTGCACTAGCCTTCGCTGCCTTTTTTTTTTTTTTTTAACTATGAAATTTTTTTTCATTCTGCAAACTCCAGTATCATTTAGTCTTTACCTGGTGTGAATATGATCAAAACCTTTGACCAGCATTTAGCTGTGGAGTCACTAGCAAGGTCTACTTATAATGTGGCCAGTCAGTCTAAATATGCTTATACTAATTATTTTCTAGGTAATCTTGAAAACGTAAAGGTTTAAGGTTTTTGCCATACCCAGGGAGTCCTGGAAATCTTAGTGTGTGTGCTTCCAGCCCCATAATTCCACTTTGTACACTTCTGGAGAAATTGATATGAAAGAATCATGTATAATTTAATGTGGAGATTTTAATCATTAAAATTGCAAGTAATGTAAACGTCCAAAATGAGTAGGGCAATGGTAAGTTTGTGGTACATGATAGGATAGGCAAGCAGCCAGTAAAAATTTTGGGAAGATTTTAATGACATGCGAAAATCAAAGTGAAAAGGTGAGATGTAAAATGATGTGTACTATATATAAATGCATGAATTCATGTGTCTTGACCTTGCTTCATTCCACAAAGACTTGAGAAGGCACCACACAGGATTGTGATTTGCACATCAAATGTTAGTGGCTATTATTTTAGGTTTATGGGATTAATATTTTCCTCTTTACACTGTATTATATAGTCCAGATTTACTGTTCTCATTTGATGTTAATGTTCTGGATTTGAATTCCTGTTTTGTTTTTTTCCCTTAGGGGGATTTTCAGGCTACTAATAAAGTATCAGCTGGATAACCTGGATAACCCTTCTTACATTGGTATCCACTATTTATAATATTGTGTGTCTTTTGTTTCACCCCATAAATTCCTTTATGTTTCACAGGAGCAAATAAATGGTTTGCCCTGGGATCAGTTTGTTGCCACGTGGCATATTTTCAAGAAGCCCCACAGATACACTGCTTGAACAGGCTGTTTGCCAAGGCACATTCAAAGACACGTCTGGCCTATTTTTAAATTTCCTATGGTAACTCTGGACGTGTGTCTGCCAACTACATACATTTCACATGCTGGACATCTTATCAGATTTTCTTCCCCCGGGGTAAAAATAATGTGTTAATTTGGACAAATATTTTAATAGTTCAGCTCTTATGACTTACTAGTTCCTTTTTTTTTTTTCTTAAGATTTTTATTTACTTATTTGACAGAGAGCACAAGCAGGAGAAGTGGCAGGCAGAGAGAGAGAGGGAGAAGCAGCCTCCCCGCTGAGCAAGGAGCCCAATGCTGGGCTCGCTCCCAGGACCCTGGGATCATGGCCTGAGCTGAAGGCAGATGCTTAACTGAGCCACCCAGGTGCCCCTAGTTCCTTCTTTAAAGGTCAACTTTATTCATAGTGTTTAAAGCTACCCACAAGATTTATGTTCTACTTGGTCATAGTTGACTACTTTTCAACCAGTCAGTTCTCTTTAATTTAAAATATAAGCCACAGTGTATAATACTCACCTTTATCAATACTTACTGCTTTGACATACGATGGCAACAGCACTTTGTGTTCTCTGGTATGGGTATCCATATATGGGGTCATGTTTTAAATGATGACTTATGTTCATATCTCCTTCTGAACTCTCTAGGACTTTCTTTTCAAGACTTTTACCAACAGTGTCGAGAGGCATTCCTGGTCAATAGTGATCTGACACTTCGGGCCCAGTTAACTGAATTTAGGGACCACAAACTTATAAGAACAAAGAAGGTGAGACTTTTGCTATTACAGCATTATATGCTAAGAATACCTTATCTCCTGTTTACTTAAGGACAAGTATGCCTCTGACTCAACTTCAATGATAAAATGCAAGTTCCATGATGGGTCACAAGGATCCATTTAGGCAGTATGCCATCTGAGTTCTGTAGAAAGAGATAAAGTACAAGTACTCAGTTTCAGAGCAGAAAACGTAGGAGTTCTAGCCCAGAGTAATAGGCCATTAGAAATAGAAGTCAAATAATTCTATTCCCTTCTCCCTCTCTCCCTTCTACCACATTCAGTAATTGGATGTATATGGAGCATTAAGTATTGGGACACGGTATTAAGCAAAAACCTAATTCCTTTCTGATAGAGCTTAGTCTAATGGAGAAGATAGACATTTGTCAAATAATCACATGTAAAGTGTTAACTGTAATTAAGTCCTATGATCAGAAAGGTACATGGTTCTAAAAGACGTCAGATTCATATATTATGCTAATTATGGTTATCAGATCACTGAGCTGAGATCTAGAGGGAAACTAGGAGATAACTGGTCAGAGAGAATAAACCAAGGCCAGCATGGCTTAGGATGAGGTTTATAAGACAATGACCTAAGGGCTAGCCCACACACTACTTTTAGGCCAAGGATTTTAATCTTCATTTGAAAATAAAGGGAAGTCATTAAAAAAAATTGTCCTCTGAATGTGGAGAGTGGGATGGGGATTGTTAAATGTCAGCACACAGAGACACCAGCTAGGAAGGTGTGTTAGTAGTCTGTAGTCTGGGTGAGCTGATGGTAGGGAACTTGACTAGGAACTCAGAGAAAAGTGGTTGGAGTTCAGATACATTTGGGAGGTGAAACTGACAAGAACTGGTGATAGATTGGGCATGAGTGCCAAGGAAAAGTGAGCAAGAAGGATTTCTGGTGTCTGGCTTGCATAGCCAGAGAGGTGGTGAGATCACTGGATGAGAAACATTTTTGAGGAAGACAGATCATGAGTTCGTGATTGTAATATGTTTGGTCTTAACTATGTTTGAGGTTCTTTTGAGATTTCCAAATGGAGGTGTCAACTAGGCAATTGGGTTTCCTGGGATAAGAAACCAGAGGAAAGATCTGGGCTAGAGACAGAAGATTAATCCCTGTGTATTAAGGTAGTAACAAACCAGGCATTGGTGGGACTATCTAGAGAGGGGACATACAGTGAGAAGGCCAGGAACTAAGCCTAGAAGTGTGACATTTAATGGCCAAGTAGAAGATAAACGTGTAGAGGAGGGAGAAATAGCCAGGAAGAAAACTAGAATATGATGTTATAGAAGCCAAGAGAATCATGCTTGTTTGCTTTTAAGATTTATTTATTCATGAGAGGCAGAGGGAAAATCAGGCTCTCTGCAGGGAGCCCGATGTGGGACTCGATTCTGGGACTGTAGGATCCCGCCCTGGGCGGAAGGCAGGCACTAAACCGCTGAGCCACCCAGGGATCCCCCCCCCCCCCCCGGAGAATCATGTCTTTAGGAAGAGTAGTCAGCAGTGTTGGGTTCTGCTGGGTGGCCAAAAAGATGAAAACTGAAAATATGTATTGGATATATAGGAATAAGGAATTCCTGGTATTCCCAGGAAAAGCTCTTTTAATGACATGATAATGGTGGTAGAAGCTAGGTTGGACTGGGAAAATGGAGACCACCAATTATTGACAGTTGATAGTAATGAGAGCCTAGCAGGAGTTTATTTTTTTTATTTTTATTTTTTAAGATTTTATTTATTTATGAGAGACATGGGCAGGGGCAGAGTTACAGGCAGAGGGAGAGGCAGGCTCCATGCAGGGAGCCCGATGTGTGGGACTCAATCCTGGGTTTCCAGGATCAGGCCCTGGGGCGATGGCGGCGCTAAACCGCTGAGCCACCGGACAGCCTACAAGTTATTTAAAAAGGGCAGCACCTGGCTGCCGCACTTAGTAGAGCGTGCCATTCTTGATCTCGGGGTCATGAATTCCAGTCCATACTGGGTATAGAAATTGCTTTTAAAAAAATGGTGTGTGATGGGGTAGAGATACCTGGATAAAAGAACAGAAAAATCAACAGTGTTGTAAGTAAGATTCTAGAAAGAACAGGAGGGTAAAGAGATCTATTCACCCTCTTTTCCACTATGAAGTGGTTTAACTATAAACTCAGTGTATTTAAATAGATATGTCTTTGTGCCCCTTTGCCTTAATCTTTACATTTCTGTATTTCTATATTAAATCCATTGTTTTTGCCTGACCTACAACAGGATTCACATACATCGCTTTACAAATGACTAACATCCAGGTTTTTGTCACTTCTTGTAGGGAACTGATGGAGTGGAATATTTATTAATTCCTGTGGACAATGGAACACTGAATGATTTCCTGGAAAGGGAAGAAGAAGAGTCTTGAAGTTATCCCTTTCTCTTGAATCTTTTGTGGAAGGATTGTACCCCAGCTGCCACTCCTCTAGTCTAAAGTGTTTACATCTAACATTAGACTCTTTTCTAGTGTACAAGACTTAAAGTTGGGAGGGGGGAATGTCATCAATTAGAACCTTGATTAGCCTGGCTGGTGTATCATCTCTAGTACTATGCATTGGTCCTCGAGTTGGAGAAAACGTGCCTTTCATTCATTACCTCTCTGGAGACTTCGTGCTGGAATGAACTGTGTGCTCAGGGACTATTTGGAGCTGGATGTTTTTGAATTATTTTATACTAGAGAGGATATTATTCCTGATTTTTTGAGGGCCTTTTAAACACTCCCAGAGCTGTTTGCAGATGTGTTTGTGCCAGAGTGTGGAAGTACAAAAACACTGGCATCACATAAACCTATTACTTTATTTGCTGTTGTCTGAGCTGATGAGGGCAGATCATCTTACTGTTTTTGGTGGGCTTAACAAAAGGGACGCGTACGAGTAGGTGATCTAGCTTTCTCCTTTTGGATTTAGACAATATCCTGGTAGGGTGGGGAAGAGAGGGCATGACCCTGTTCAGTGGATAGAGGGAAAAGCATAATGAGTGTAGAGGGTGCATACCCACCTTAGAAAACACATGAACAATAATCATGATCCCTGGAACAGCTAACATCTGTGCCATCACCTTCATGACACAAGCCAGGCTACAGAAACACAGTCCTGAGTTACATTTTAGTTTTGAAGACAACAGAAAATAAAATTTTTAATTATTCTTGTATTGACAGTTTTTCTTCAATAATGTGCAAGTGAGTAGCATATTAATGTCTGATTTTAATCTTGATTTCTCTAGATTAAGTAGACCCAAAACTCACTGTAAGACATTTCAGTTTTTTTTGTTAAAGTAACAGTTTCAAGCCCTCTACATTTTTTTTTAAGCCCTCTCCATATTTACCAAGGTTTTTTCCTGAAGAAAGAGAAAAAGGCTTAACCTTGGGCACTGGTCAGCTCATAGTCTTCACATACTCTCTAAAATACTTCATACTTGGAAATGAAATTCTTCATTAAAATATCACCAAAATAAGTGAGAGCTGCGGATGCAGTAAATTTTATCTTGTAAACCCCTTTCATGAAACTTTCCCAAAATGCTCCGAATTTAAGTCATTTCTCTTTGTGGCATATGATTAATTTGGTTAAGTCCATGTATGAGGGTTTGTTTAGTCTTACATATAATCAAAATATTTAAACTAGTACATAAATTTGATTCTAAAATTATTACCAAAGGATATTCACTGAAAAGTGAGTTTCCTTCCCCTTCACCGATCCAGTCCCTTACACAACCAGTGATAGTTTATTCCTCCAGAGGTATTCTATGCACATGGAAGGGTGTGTCTATATCTCCTTTTAAAAACACAAATGGTAGCATATGATACGTGCTCGTTTGCACCTTGCTTTTTTTGCTTAATATATCTAGTTTATAACTTATAACAAAGTATATAAAATCTTTAAATGACCTAATATGCAAATTTTGCATTCACCCTTAAATATCTACTGGTTTATTTTTATAATTTTTGTGTCCATACTATTTGCAAGCAGTATGTATCAACAGTCTTATTAATAAATAAAAAGCCAATTTGGATAGAATCACTTTTTTATAGTACTGGTTTTTTACTAAAAATATTTTTAAGTCCTTCAAAAATTTTCTAAGTGCGTCTTACACATCTGAATATCTTAGCAGAATTATCCTACACTTTAACTTGTTTCAGTATCAGTGTTCCTTACACTCTATCAGTTAAGAAGTTGACTGCTAAGCCTCCAACTTACATTACTTGCTTCTGACAAGGGTCAACAGACCTCAAAACCTTGATTTTTCTGGCTGCTCTTAATAAAATGGCCAAATGAACAGGTCCAAAAACGGCATAGGGGATGCAGAACAGGCATTCTTACACTCTACAAGAGTTGATTAAACACCACTGAATTCCTGATGCAGAGTGCTAAATCTGTTCCTGTGATACTCTAGAAACTGACTTTCTTAGCATGTTTGTCATTTTAATTTTAGTAAGTGAGCATTTCATATAAAAGATCAGCGAATTTAGGGAATAGATTTTGCTTATCTCTTTTTTTAAAAAAAAAAAAAACTTACTTTAGAAGTCTATTTCTTCTAATTCAAATGTGGAGCCGTAGCACTGTATTTTCCTACATTCTAGGAAGCGAGGAGACTCTTGCAGCTTAGTCCTGAGCCATCAGAGGGCCTGCGTTATCAGACTGTGGCTCCTAAAACTGATGGATAAAAATGGGTTACGCAAAGGACTTTATTCTCAGGCTTCCTGTAATTACTTCTCCCTTAGGAGGGTCTCCTATCTTGGTATTTCAAACTGCTGTTAAAACATTTTAATTCATGTTTATTGAACACTACGTAGAAGGCTCTATGCTAGATAGAGGAGTTGTAAGGAATATGAAGGAAGAAATATGGGGTTTTAATAGCTTTATTAAGTTACAGTATTCTTAATTTGCCGAAAATAAATTTGAAATAACTGATGCTATGGAAAATATAACTAAGTTATATTTTAAACTGAGTTTAATAGAAAGCTAATTACCGTGTTTTCATAACCATTTTGGCATCTACCACACTTCGGCCTTGAGCCCTCCCGTATTTAGGTCACCACCCTTATTTTGTTACCTAACATCCTGCAACAGCAGCATTCTCTCTCCGGAACTGAAGTGCTTGGGCCCCATTCAAGTATCTGAATCAGCATTTTAAGAATCTGCATTTTAAAACTCCATCTCCATACATTATTCTGCACATTAAAATTTGAAAAGCAGTGGGGCAGCCGGGGTGGCTCAGTGGTTTAGCACCGCCTTCAGCTGTGATCCTGGAGACGGAGGATCTGGCTCCCTCTCCCAGCAAAGAGCCTGCTCCGCCCTCTGCCTGTGTCTGTGTCTCATGAATGAATAAATAAAATCTTAAAAATAAAATCTTAAAAAAAAAAAGCAATGATATATACAATTAACACCTTAAAGTTAACAGTTCAGAAAATCTGACAAGTGAAAATAATTCATCTTTAGTGATACTTAAAAACAAAACTACAGAGGGACATATTTGAGGATATTTTATTTAGAAACTTTTTTTTAAGTCAGAGACCCAGGCAAAGGGAGAAGCAGGCTCCCCACAGAGAGCCCGATGTGGGATTTATCTGGGAATCCGGGATCACACCCTGAGCCCAAGGCAGATGCCCAACCACTGAGCCACCAGGCATCCCAAAACTTTAAAAATTGTAGTAACAATGGCATTCTTTAAAAAAAAAAAAATGGCAATAGCATGTCTAATCATCATCAAAATCTTTGATCCATTAGATCCTTTCTGAAACTCAGCAAAAGGCACTAATCTACAACCTTCAGCATGAATAAATGTTCAAGGTGAGATCACATCTTACCTTCGGTGCCATAAAGAAAAAAAAAAGGTTTAAGAATCCCTGTCCCCAAGCTATTTCCGAAGCATCATCTCTGACCGTACCCTTCCTGCCTCCTGCTCTCTGCCCTGACAGTAATAAGTGAATCGTTGGCTTTTTCAATGCATTGTGCTGCTTCTCCAGTGTTTGTTCAAGCTGTGCCTGATTGCATCCTACCCTTTCCCCAGGAAACCTCCTTTGTAGGCCCCCTGCGGATCTTCAGCATGTATGTAATTACAATAGCCTCTCAGGCATCATCTCCAAGCCGTCTGCTCTCCCATTCCCTAGACCTTGACCTCGACCATCCCTCATCAAAGCTTTCTCCTTGGCTTCTGATCCTTTGCCTCCTCTAACCTTGGAATCAGGGTCATTTCTAAGGCTCAGTCCTATTGGTTATTTCTGTAGTGAATCAATATTAGAGGTGAACCACCGAGAATAATGTGTAAATTAGGATACCAAGTCTTCCAGAAGATGATTGGTAGGAAAAGAGTCCCACAAAAGAAATGCAGGTTGTGGAAGGAGAGGTGGGCGAAGGGGGGATGGGGTAACTGGGTGACAGCAGAGGAGGGCACTTGATGGGATGAGCACTGGTATTACATGTTGGCAAATCGAACGTCAATTAAAAACAAATGAAAAAAAAATGTAAAATTCTTTCCTTTCTCATCTTAGACTGTATTTTAAAAGATCTGCTTTTGTCATTCCAAAGGAAAAAGCTCTGTGCTGAGAGACTGGAAATATGCATAGAAGGATTCAAAAGAAAAGCCTCCCATACTATCTGAGAAAATCCCAGTTAAAATGGATTTCTTTTCCTTCAGAATTTCTTACATACCTCCTGTATCAGGTTTATTATCAATGTTCATTAAAAAGGAGTTAAGAACAGACTCTGGAACCAGACTACCTGAGTTTGTGTCCAAACTCCCATCATTTCCTAGCTATGTGGCCTTGGGCAGACTCCGTAATCTGTTTTAGTCATCTGTAGAATGGAAATAATAATACCTGTATTCTTGTTTCTAAAGATTAAAAGTGTTTATAACATACCTGAGAGTGCCCAGCACAAAACTAGTTATCGTATGGTAATGGGAATATTTTGGAAGCTAACCATCTTTTTATAATACTAATAAAATTCCAGGTGAGTTACCTAAAAAGCACTAAAACAGTCATGAATAATGACCATGTATATTAAGAAAAAAAGAAACAAAAAAATAAAGCCTCATCCTGATTCTGAAATTCAGCTGAGAGATTAGTGATCTGGGAATGGGAACATAGAGACAGACCTTATCACCCTCTGCAGGCTACTATCTACAAATAAGTATTCCAATCTCAAGTTTTTTAAAGTACATTTTAAACTAGCCAAGGACAGAGAGATCTAGAATGACACATCCCATCTATAATTAAGCAAAGGAGTTGCTCAAGCAACTTACCAGAATGCTAAGTAAACAGATTTTAGTGGATCTTTCCTGGAGTTTATAATGAATATATGCTTTACATTTATAATCTTAATTATCTTATAATGAATACTTATTCTTGAATGGTAGTTATGTTATGGTTTTCACCATATGAGCTACAGAACATTTGGTGAACAGATTTACAAACCAGAAATAATATACATTTTAAGACATTCTTCCAGGAGGAGTCTCTGATTTGTGTTATACATTCAAGTTGGAGCCAATTGGTTTGTAGACTGTCATCCTGTCCTTTCTGTATGTTTTATACCACATGAAGAGGGTCCCTGTCTGTTTCTGACAAGATAATATTAATCTTATTCTCCAAGTGAGCACCCAGCATATCTCGAAGATCAGAAAGAAAGCCTCGTTCAGTGTTGCTATGTTCACAGAGGATGACATTTATTCCTTGGGATGCAGCATCCAGAACATCATGATGGGACATCTCACCTGCCAACAGAGGAAAGAGCAAATACTTAAATATTAGACACAGAGTCTGTAGAATGCTGAACCATAACTGCATAAATACCAAGTTCTCATTGTGTAAAAAGCAGAACTTTACACATAAATCTAGAAAGTTATATTCAGGCTTTATTACATGTTCTCCAATTAGAAAGAGAAAGACCATCCCACTGAGAACTCCCAATTTTTTCTCCTTGGCAGACTCAAGTCAAGTATCTAAACCCACATATACAACAGTCAGAACTAGACCTATAAGAACACCCGTTCAAAATGTTTCCATTGGGGTGCCTGAGTGATGGTGACTCTTAATCACAGCTCAGCTCTTGATCTCAGGGTCATGAATTTGAGCCCTACATTGGGCTCCATGCCTTGCATGGAGCCTACTTCAAAACAAAAAAAAAACCCCAAAATGCTTCCATTATAAAATTAAAAACTAAGTGAACTGGGGCTTTCAGAAATCTCTCCTATAAAAACAAACAAACAAAACAAAACAAAACTCCTATAAATATTAAAAGGTATAGAAAATCCTGGGTGTACTTCCCAAAGACTCCTTTTGGCTTTATGAACACCAAAATTTTCAGCATCAGCTCTAGTCTAATTCATAAGGATGAAATAAATTTAAGGTTATTTCTAAATTAAAGACAAGGTAAAAAATAAAAATAAAAACATGGCATTTATTTTCCTTTGACTTAGGCAAAATTTCTAGAAATCCTGAAGTTTCTAGTACAAGAGGATTTCTCGTCTTTTGGAAAAAGATTTTAGGAAAACTCAAGTGTTTTGCATTTTTTAAAAACCCCACTTGTGAATCTGATGACTTCTAATTTACCAGCAAAAATATACTGTACAATTTGGCTTATTCATAACAAGCATAATATTGAAATCTGTTTAGAGCTCTAAAAGCATTAAAAAAATAAGGAAAAACTTTTTTCCCCTGAAAAATTTTCAATCCCTTACATTTTTCCCATCTCCCCAGTACATGTCATTTCATATATGGGACAGTTTTTATTCAAGCATTTTTTAAAGTTGTAGTGTGTGTGTGTATTTTAAGATTTTACTTATTTATTTTAGAGAGCACTTGGGTGGAGGGGCAGAGGGAGAGAATCTCAAGCAGACTTCCTGCTGAGCACAGAATCTGACCCTGGAACCCTGAGATCATGACCTGAGCTGAAACCAAGAATTGGGATGCTTAACTAGTAGAGCCTCCCAGGAACCCCTAAAATATCTTAATCTATAACAGCAAAATATTTTAATCTATAATAGAAGAAAAGACCCTAATGGGCTCCGTTAGAAGCCATGCTTCAGGAGAGACAAGTCTGGTGTCTGAACGATTCCACATGCTCTGATGGACGTGGGGGAACCTACAAAGACTCTGTAATACTAGCTGAAGGCAGGGGCACCCGGGTAGCTCAGTCAGTTAAGTGTCTGCTTTCTGCTCCAGTCATGGTCTTGGGGTCCTGGGATCCAGCCCTCCATTGGGCTCCCTGCTAGGTGGAAAGCCTGCTTCTCCCTCTGCCTCTGCTGCTCCCCACCCCCACTTGTGCACTCTCTCTGTTGAATAAATCTTTTTCTTTTTTTAAGATCTTTAAAAATTTATTCATGAGAGAGACAGAGAGGCAGAGACACAGGCAGAGGGAGAAGCTCCCTGTGGGGAGCCTGATGTGGGACTCAATCCCAGGACCTAGGGATCACAACCCATGCCAAAGGCAAGGCTCAACCACTGAGAGCCCCAGGTACCTCAGTAAATAAAATCTTAAAAAAAAAAAAAAAGAAAAGAAAAGAAAAGATGTCAAACTGCTTTAAAAAAAAAAAAAAAAAAAACTAGCTGAAGGCAAAGGGAAGAGAAGCCTAGCTCAGGATGGTAGCTGTGGGAAAGAAAGAGCAATGAGAGAATATTTCTATCTGCAAGGAGCAAGCTCTCCATCTGCTGGTCTTTCCACAATAAGACCCTTAACGACCTGATACTACCATGTTCTGCTCAAAGGGTGATGAACATCAACAGAGGCCTATGTGTGGCTTTAAACAATTCTGAATTGCATTAATTTATCTTATGCACATATTGCTTAATAATTTAAAAAATCAGTTTAAGAAAGTAATTATTTATGAGAAAACAATCACATGCCCCAAATTAAGAGATATATCACAAAACAAATGGCCTATACTCTTCAAGAAAAGTGCCAGTGCTCTGAACAAAGCTGAAGAACTATTCTAGATGCAGTGATCATGGACTAGATATCAATCAGAAAAAGAAATGCAACAAGACGGGATGCCTGGGTGGCTTAGCGGTTGAGTGTCTGCCTTTGGCTCAGGGCGAGATCCTAGAGACCCGGGATCAAGTCCCACATCGGGCTTCCTGCATGGCGCCTGCCTCTCCCTCTGCCTGTGTCTATGCCTCTCTCTCTCTGTGTCTCTCATGAATAAATAAAATCTTAAAAAAAAATTGCAACAATTCTGATCAATTAGCAAAATTCAAATATAGACTACATATTAAATAAGTGTTTTGGGTTTTTTTTGTCGTTGTTGTTAAAGATTTTGTTTATTTATTCATGAGACACAGAGAGAAAGCAGACACAGGCAGAGAGAGAGAAGCAGGCTTCCCCGCAGAGAGCCCAATGTAAGACTCGATCCCAAGACCCCGGGATCACGCCCTGAGCCAAAGGCAGAGGCTCAACCGCTAAGCCACCCAGGGGTCCTTTAAATAAATGTTTTAACAATGTTAAATTCCTGTATTTGATCTCTTTCCATGGTTATATAATGTCCTTGTTCTTAGGAGGTTTATGTTGATGTATTTAGTGATAAGATAAAAAGGCCACGTATACAATTTATTATTAAATGGTTTTGGGAAAACAAATGAATAGAAATATATTTACACACACTCATAGATATTTATAGACATACATACATGCATACATATATGTGACACAGAATATGCAAATGTAGCAAAATATAACCATTAGCAATCTTTATTTTTATTCATTTATTTTTTAAGTAAGCTTCCATACCCAGCATGGAATCCAACATGGGATTGAACTCACAACCCAGACCTGAACCAAGATCAAGAATTGGATGCTTAACGGACTAAGCCCAGGTGCCCCTATAACCATTAATCTTAAGTGAAGGACATACAAAAGCTCATTGTACAATCCTTGCAACTTTTCTACAGGTCTGAAATTCCTCCAAAGTAAAATGTTATAATTAACTTTATTTTTTAAAATATGTATTTATTTAACAGAGAGAGAGCAAAAGAGAGCAAAGGGAAGAGTAGAGGGAGAGGGAGACAAGCAGACTCCCTGCTGAGCAGGGGGCCGACAATGGGCCTGATCAAACAACCCTGAGATCATGAACTGAGCTCAATGATTTTTTATTTTATTTTATTATTTTATTTTATTTTTTTAAATTTTTTAATTTTCAAATGACTATTTTAAAATTAACTGTAGGGGCACCTGGGTGGCTCAGTTGGTTGAGCATCTGATTCATGGTTTTGGCTCAGATCATCATCTCAGGATTGTGGGATAAGGCCCTAGGTAGAGCCCCCTGCTCAGCAGGGAGTCCACTTGAAGATTTTCTCCCTCTGCCCCTACCTCCTGGCTCACACATGCACACACTCTCTCTAAAATAAATATTTAAAAAATTAAAACAATGAATAAATAAAAATAGTCATATAATGCTGTAGGTATTTTGTCAAACTCCTTATACACTGAAAGTTTATTTCAATCTAGTACAAGTTTGAGGGCTTATACAAATTTTACATCTTCAGAAGAATAGAAAACAGATACTGGTCATGTACACTTTTAGTAAGTTCAGAGAAGGAATAGTAATGGAGAGGCCTAGGAAGTAGCCATGGGAATAGCCAGAGGGTTAAAACCCTGGATTCTGGTCCTGGAAGTAAAAAAAAAGTAATTTTTTAAACAGATTTTTATTTTTAAGTAATCTCTGTACCCAATGGGGGACTCGAACTTACAAACCCGAGATTAAGAGTTGCATGCTCTACTGAATGAGGAACATACAAAAGCTCATACTGAATGAGCCAGCCAGGAACCCTGAAAAAAGTATTTAACTGCCTCTCTCCTAACCCTAAGGAGGAACAGAGGTGGAAATGCAGCACGTAGGGCAAGTGTACAAAGTGCCTCCAAATCTTTTGGTTTTGTTTTTTTAAAAAATTTTTTTATTAATTTTTATTTATTTATGATAGTCAGAGAGAGAGAGAGAGAGAGAGAGAGAGAGAGGCGCAGAGACACAGGCAGAGGGAGAAACAGGCTCCATGCACCGGGAGACCGACGTGGGACTCGATCCCGGGTCTCCAGGATCACGCCCTGGGCCAAAGGCAGGCGCCAAACCGCTGCACCACCCAGGGATCCCGCCTCCAAATCTTTTGAATGAGCAGTCACATTACCTATTAGATGTTATGCTCAAGGACAAAGCATAGAGCCAAAGTGCCAAACAAACACTGTCCAATAGAAATATATACCGCAGGTTAAGAACAAAGCAATGGGGATCCCTGGGTGGCGCAGCGGTTTGGCGCCTGCCTTTGGCCCAGGGCGCGATCCTGGAGACCCGGGATCGAATCCCACGTCGGGCTCCCGGTGCATGGAGCCTGCTTCTCTCTCTGCCTGTGTCTCTGCCTTTCTCTCTCTCTCTGTGACTATCATAAATACATAAAAAAAAAACTAAAAAAAAATAAAAAATAAAAAAGAACAAAGCAATGGGGACTGGAGAGGAAGGCATGACCATCAGGGCAGGAGCCATACAGTGTCAGAAAAACCTTCTCAGAGGAGGTATCTCAACTTATCACTAGAAATATAAAGAAAGGGGCAAGAAAGGCATTTTAACCAGAGAAAACAAAGGTTGTATGAAACAAGATAAACATTCAGGCTTGGGGATCCCTGGGTGGCTCAGCGGTTTAGTGCCTGCCTTTGGCCCACGGCATGATCCTGGAGACCCGGGATCGAGTCCCACATCAGGCTCCCTTCATGAAGCCTGCTTCTCCCTCTGCCTGTCTGTCTGTCTGTCTCTCTCTCTCTCTCTTTCTCTCACAAATAAATAATTAAATCTTAAAAAAAAATAAAATAAAATGGAAACGTAGAAGGTGTCCCATTAATTGACATGAAATCTAAGAGAAATCATGTGTAAGAAGAAGACACATGCTGAACGTGAGTCTTTTAGATAATCTAATAATAAATTGTTGGGGCACCTGGGTGGCTCAGCTGGTTAAGCATCTGCCTTCAGCTCAGGTCATGACCTCAGGGTGTTGCTTCTCCCTTTCTCTCTGCCATTGCCCCTGCTTGTGCATGCTCTCACTCAAATAAATAAATAAGGTCTTTAAAAAAAACTGTTAAATGATCCCCCCCTTTTTTTAGATTTTATTTATTCATTCACGAGAGACAGAGAGAGAGAGAGAGAGAGAGAGAGAGAGAGAGAGAGAGGCAGAGACACAGGCAGAGGGAGAAGCAGGCTCCATGTAGGAAGTCCGACGTGGGACTCGATCCTGGGTCTCCAGGATCAGGCCCTGGGCCAAAGGTGGCGCTAAACCGCTGAGCCACCCGGGCTGTCCAATTTTTCCCCCTCTACAAAGATTATGGTCTGTCTCCAATTTCACTGTAGTTCCTGTTTAGTTCAGGACAAACTACAGTTGTTAGATCCATTTATATAGTAAGTGCTATCCTAAATTCTATTTTTTATCTTGTAAAAAATAAACCAACATTGAGAAAACATACACACAAAAAAGAAAGGGAGACCCAAAGGCTGTCCTACCTGTGAGGTAAAGGTCGGCCTCTGCCCCTTGTAGCACCGTACTCCCAGAACCAGCACACAGGGCCACGACTTTGACTGGAGACTCTTCAAGATAAAACAAACAAGAGACCAATACTTTACAATTCCCCTTCATTTTAATATTACAATTTGTATAAAAAATACTTCATGTAATGCAGGTATCACTCCTGGTCTCATCAACAGTATATGAACTTTGCTTACTAAATTTTAAAAAATAACAAAACATGTCTTCATATAAACAAGCAAATTATTCTTTGGTATTGCATAAGTAGTCCAGCACAGGGCTGTTATTTCTTCAGATGTATGTGGCTGCACAGCCCACACAAGGTACCACCAAAGAGTGCTAACAGGACAGCTCTAGGCTTCCTCCCTGCTGCTCAGTAGAGTGACCTCTCCTGGGTTTCCAGGCAACATTGAGAGGTGGGCCAGGTACTATCTCTATTCTCAGGTGAGAAATAAAAAGAGCTAGTTAAAAGTATGTTACAAATTAATATAACACATATTTTTAAATATCATATTCAATTTAAAGGAACATCTGGGAGATACCTGGGTGGCTCAGTAGAGTGCCTCCCTTCAGCCCAGGGCATGATCCTGGAGTCCCGGGATTGAGTCCCGTGTCGGGCTCCCTGCATGGAGCCTGCTTCTCCCTCTGCCTGTGTCTCTGCCCCTCTCTGTGTGCTCATGAATGAATGAATGAATAAGTAAATAAATAAATAAAATGAAAGAAAGAAAGAAAGAAAAAGAAAAAAAGAAAAAAGAAAGAAAAGAAAGACATGAATAAATAAATAGGGACACCCAAGTGGCTCAGTGGTTGAGTATCTGCCTTTGGCTTGGGGCGTGATCCTGGAGTCCTGGGATCAAGTCCCACATCAGGCTTCCCGCATGGAGCCTGCTTCTCCGTCTGCCTGTGTCTCTGCCTCTCTCTGTGTGACTCTCCTGAATAAATTACTAAAATCTTAAAAAAAAAAAAAGACCATCTGAAGAGTTAAAGAATAAAATAACAGAAACTTTGAAGCCCAAATCCAACAATTATTTAGCCCTTAAGGCTTCTAGAATGGGCACTTCATTAGTGACTACTCTGAAATATTTTAAAGATTTATTTGAGAGTGTGTGCATGTGTGAGCAGGATTAGGAGAAGAGGAAAGAGAGAGAATCCTCAAGCAGACTCTACACCAAGCACAGACCCTGACACAGGGCTTGATCCCAGGCCCCTGAGATCACGACCTGAGCTAAAATCAAGTCAGACTCTTTACCGACTGAGCCATCCAGGCACACCTGGGGGTATTTTAAAAGAGGCTGAGGGCACCCTCTGCACGGAGAGCCCTGGGATCCCCTGGCCTATACCCACCTTCAGCTATAGCTGTCCTGCCAGGGTGCTTTAGGGACCTCCCTAGCCCATGCCCCACCTCCATTCCAGCTGCCCCACTGAGGCACCCACTGCACAGAACACCCTGAGACACTTGGCTTACACTCACTTTAGCTTCAGTTGTCCTGCCACGGCATTCTCTGAGAGCTTTGGGACCATCCCAGTCAATACCCACTTTAGCTACCGCCATCCCACTAGGACAGCCCTAGTGCAGAGTGCCCTGAGACTCCCAGTCCATGCCAGACACTGCTGCTGCCAGCCAAAATCACACACAGTCTACTATACAGGAAGGCCCATACACAAGACCATTCCTTCAAGTTTAGGAGCAGTACCTGTTCTGCCTAATTCATAGAAATGAACATAGAAAGTCAAGCAAAACGAGGAGCCTGAGACATATATTCCAAATGAAAGAACAAGATGAAGCCTCAGAAAAGAACTAAATGAAACAGAAATAAACAATATTGCCAGGTAAAGAGTTTAAAATAATGGTCATACAGATGGTTACCGGACTAGAGAGAAGAGTAAAACAATTCAGTGAGAACTTCAACAAAGAGACAGAAAATATAAAATATATAAAAGAACTCTTTATGGGAGTTGAAGAATATAACTTAAATGAAAAAAAGGTAGAGGAAATCAACAGATTAGTGCATGCAGAAGAACAGGTCAGCAATCTGAAAAACAGTGTAATGGAACACACTCAACCTGAAGAGCAAAAGAAAAAAAAAAATTTTTTTTAAAGATATTATTGGTTTAGGGCAGCCCTGGTGGCGCAGCAGTTTAGCGCCACCTGCAGCCCAAGGCGTGATCCTGGAGGCCCTGGATCAGGTCCCACGTCAGGCTCTCTGTATGATGCCTGCTTCTCCCTCTGCCTCTGTCTCTGCCTCTCTCTCTGTCTCTATGAATAGAATAGAATATTGATTTATTCATGAGAGATGCAGAGAGAGAAGTGGGTTCCATGCAGGAAACCTGATGCGTGACTCAATCCCAGGACTCCAGGATCACACCCTGGGCTGAAGGAAGACGCTCAATTGCTGAGCCACCAAGGTATCCCAGAAAAACATTTTTTAATGAGAACACGTGAAGGGATCTCTTCAACATCAAGCTAACAAACATTAGCATTATGTAGGTCCCAGAAGGAGAAGAGAAAGAGAGAGGCAGAAAACTTATCTGAAAAAATAATAGCTGAAAACTTCCCTGACCTAGAGAAGGAAACAGACATCAAAGTTCAGAAAGCACAGAGAGTTCCAAAAAGATGAACCCAAGGAGGTCCATTCCATGACACATAATAATTGAAATGTCAAAGACTAAAAGAGAATTTTAAAAGAAGCAAGTGAAAAGCAAAAGCTATATATAAGGAAAACCCTATCATGCTATCAGCTGATTTTCAGAAGAAATCTTACAGGCCAAAAAGGAATGTTCATGATATATTTAAAGTGCTAAATGGAAAAAAGCCTACCATCAATAATAATCTTCCTGGCAAGATATTCATTCAGATTTGAAGGAGATATAAAATGAGTTTCCCAAACAACCAAAAGTTAAAGGAGCTCATCACCACTAAACCAGACTTACAAAAAATATTAACTTCCTTAAGTGGAAAAGAAAAATCCATAATTGAAAGTTACAAATAAAAAGACATAAAATAACATATACAAAAAATATGGAGGAGGGAGTAAAAAAGAAGTCCTTTTAAAATGTGGTCCAACTGGAGCACCTGGGTGTGTCAGTCAGCTGGGCAGCCAATTTTTTTTTTTAAGATTTATTTATTTATTCATGAGAGACACAGAGGCAGAGGCACAGGCAGAGGGAGAAGCAGGCTCTCCAGAGAGAGCCCAATGTGGGACTTGATCCCAGATTCAGGGACCACGCCCTGACCCAAAGGCAGATGCTCAACCACTGAGCCACCCAGGCATCCCCTGGCAGCCAATTCTTGATTTTGGCTTGGGTCGTGATCTTGGGGTCCTCGGATCAAGCCCCACATGAGGCTCCATGCTAGTGGGGAGTCTGCTTTTACGATTCTCTGTCTCCCTCTGCCCCTCCCCTCATTTGCTTGCTTTCTGAAAATGAACAAATGAATCTTTTTCAAAAAAGTGTTCCAATTTAAGTGACCATCAAATTATTATAGATGACTGGGTGCCTGGGTGGCTCAGTCAGTTAAGCATCTGCCTTCGGCCCCAGTCATGATCCTAGGGTCCTGGGATTAAGCCCAGTATCAGGCTTCCTGCTGGGTAGGGAGCTTGCTTCTCCCTCTCCCTCTGCCTGCTGCTCCCCCTGCCTCTGTCAAATAAATAAATTTCATTTTAAAAACTTTTAAAAATTATAAATGGCTATATGCTTAGGATGCCATAAATAAACTTCCTGGTAATCACAAAACCTATAACAGATACACAAAAAGAGAAAGAAAACCAAGTATAACACTAAAGGAAATCATCAATTGTAAGAAAAGGGAGCAAGAGAAGAAGAAAGGAACAGAGAAGAACTACATAAACAACCAGGATGAACAAAACAACAGCAAGTACATAACTACCAGTAATTACTTTAAATGTAAATGGTCTAAACGCACCAATCAAAAAACTTAGGGTGGTGGAACAGATAAAACACAAGACCAAACTATAGGCTGCCTTTAGACTCACTTCAGACCTAAAAACACATACAAACTGAAGGAGAAATAATGGAAAAAGATATTCCATGCAAATGGAAGCAAAAGATAAAAGAAAAAAAAAAGCTGAAGCAGCAACACTTAGACAAAATACGCTTTAAAACAAAGACTAACAAGAGACAAAGAAGTGCATTACATAATGATTAAAAATCAATGCAAAAATAGGATATAACAAGTATAAATATCTACATCCAACATTGGAGCACCTAAATACATAGAGCAAATATTGACATAAAGGGAAAATCTGACAGTAATACCATTATAGTAGGGAACTTTAACACCCATTTACATCAATGGATAAATCATCCAGGTGGAAAATCCATAATGAAACAGTGTCTTTGAACAATACATTAGTCGATGGACTTAACAGATATACACAGAACATTCTATCCAAAAAAAGTCCAGAATACACCTTTCCAAGTGTACATGGAAGATTCTCCAGGATAAAGCACATGAGAACATGAAACAAATCTTAATAAATTTAAGACTGAAAAAATAAATAAATAAATAAATAAATAAATAAATAAATAAATAAATAAATTTAAGACTGAAATCGTATCATGGGTCTTTTCTGACCACAGAACAAGAAACTAGCAAGCAATCACAAGAAAAAAAAAAAAACTGGAAGAAACCACAAACATATGAAAGCTAAACCAATGGTTAACAAAGAAATCAAAGAAGAAATAAAAAGATACATATAGACAAATAAAAATGAAAACACAACAGTCCAAAATCTGAGACACAACAGAAGCAGGTCTAAAAAAAATTTAGTGATGAAGGCCTGCCTCAAGAAACAAGAAATACCTGAAGTAAACAATCTAACCTTACACTCGAACTAGAAAAAGGACAAAACCAAGGTTAAGGTCAGCTGAAGGAAGGAAATAAAAGATAAGAGCAGAAATAAGTGAAAGAGACTATAAAAAAAAAAAAAAGAAAAGATCAATGAAACCAAGAGCCATTTCTTTGAAAAGATAAAATTTATAAACCTTTGGCCAGACTTATCAAGAAGAACAAGGAGGACCCAAATTTAAAAAATCAGAAATGAAAGAGAAGTAACAACTGACACAACAGAAATACAAAGGATGAGAGACTACTTTGAAAAATTACATGCCAACAAATTGAACAATCCAGAAGAAATGAATAAACTCCTGGAAATACACAATCTTCCAAAATTAAATCAGGAATAAATAGAAAATCTGAACAGACTGATTCCTAGTAAAGAAATTGAATTGGTAATCAAAAAACTCCCAACAAATACAAGTCTAGATGAACTTACAGATGAATTCTAACAAAAACTTAAAGAGAGTTAGTATCTATTCTCCTCAAACTAGTCCAAAAAATAAAAGAGGAAGGAAAGCTTCTAAATACATTCTATAAGGCCAGCATTACCCTGATTCCAAAACCAGACACTCCAAAACTACAGGCCAATATTCTTGGTGAACATGGATGCAAAAATCCTCAACAAAATATTAGCCAACCACATTTAATACGTTCACCATAATTAGGCAGCATTTATTCCAGGGATGCAAGGATGCTTTAATAGTCATAAAATCAATGTAATTTACCCCATTAACAAAGCAAAGGATAAAAATAATATCATCTTAAGAGACGCAGAAAAGGCACTGGACAAAATTCAACATCTCCTCAACAAAGCAGGTTTACAAGAAACATTCCTCAACATAATAAAGGCTATAATATGAAAAACCCATGGCTAACATCATATTCAATGATGAGAAACTGAGAGCTTCTCCTGTAAGATCAGGAGTAAGATAAGAATGCCCACTCTTCCACCAGAAGTCCTAGTCATAGAAATTAAACAAAAAACAAAACATATCCAAACTGATAAGAAATAAAACTCGTTTTGTAGATGACATAATGGTATACATAGAAAACCTGAAGGCTCCACCAAAAAATGATTAAAAGTAATAAATAAATTTAATAATGTTGCAAAATACAAAGTTAATATACAGAAATATGTTACACTTCTATACACTAATAATGAAGTAGCAAAAAGGGAAGTTAAGGAAACAATTCCATTTACAACTGCACCAAAAAGAATAAAATTGGAATAAACTTAACCAAGGAGGTCGAAGTTCTCTATTCTGAAAACTATAACACACTGATAGAAAACATTGAATATAACACAAATGGAAAGAGATTCCATTATCATAGATTTGAAGAATACTGTTAAAATGTCCATACTTACTGAAAGCAATCTACAGATTCAATGCAATCCCTAACAAAATACCAATATCATTTTTCACAAAACTAGAACAAATACTCAAAATTGTATGGAATCATAAAAGACCTTGAATAGATACAGCAATGTTGAAAAAGAACAAAGCTGGAGGCACCACACTTTCCGATTTCAAGATATACCAAAGGTTTAATAATCAAAACAGCATGGTACTGGTACAAAAACAGATACATAGATCAATGGAACAGAATAGAAGCCAGAAATAAACCCACATTTATAGTCGGTCAATTAATCTTTGATAACGGAGACAAGAATATCCAATGGGAAAAAGTCTGTTCAACAAGTGATGCTGGGAAAACTGGACAGCTACACATAAAAGAATAAAACTGGACCACTTTCTTACACCATACACAAAAACAAACTCAAGACGGTTTAAAAACCTAAGTGTGAGGGCAGCTGGGGTGGCTCAGCGGTTTAGCGCCACCTTCAGCCCAGGGCGTGATCCAGGGAGACCCAGGATCGAGTCCCACTTTAGGCCCCCTGCATGGAGCCTGCTTCTCCCTCTGCTTCTCTCTCTCTCTCTCTCTGGTGTTTCTCATGAATAAATAAATAAAATCTAAAAAAAAAAAAAAAAAAACTAAAACAAAAACCTAAATGTGAGACCTGAAACCATAAAACTCCTAGAAGAAATCATAAGCAGTAATTTCCCTGACATTAGCCTTAGCAATATTTTTCTAGATAGGTCTTCTCAGGCAAGGTAAACAAAAGCAAAAATAAACTATTGGGACCACATCAAAATAAAAAACTTTTGCACAGCAAAGAAAACCATCAACAAAATGAAAAAGGCAATCTACTGAATGGAAAAAGACATTTGCAATGATGAATCCAATAACAGGTTAACATCCAAAATATATAAAAGAACTTACACAACTAGACACTAAGAAAAAAAAAAAACTCAAATAATCCGATTTAAAGATGGGCAGAAGACCTGAACTAACATTTTTCCAAAGACATAAAGATGGCCAACAGATATGTGAAGAGATGCTCAATATCACTCATCATCAGGGAAATGCAAATCAAAACCACAATAAAGTATCATTCACACCTATCAGAAAGGCTGAAGTAAAAAAGACCAGAAATAAGTGTTGCTGAGGAGGGGAGAAAAAGGAACCCTCATCCATTGTTGATGGGAATACAAACTGGTACAGCCACTGTGGAAAACAGTATGGAGATTCCTCAAAAAATTAAAAATATGAATACCACATGACCTAATAATTCCACTACTAGGTATTTATGCAAGGAAAGTAAAAACACTAACATGAAAAGACATATGTACTCCTATGTCTACTGCAGCATTATTTACAACAGCCAAGCTAAGGAAGCAACCTAAATGCTCATCAATAAATGAATGGACAAAGATGCAGTAAACAGACATAATGGAACATTTACTCTGCCACAAAAAAGCAGATCTTGACATGGATGGATGAAGAGGGTTTTATGCTAAGTGAAATAAAAGTGAGAGAGAGAAAGACAAATACCATATGAGGAATTATATATGGAATCTAAAAAAACAAAAAGCAGGAGACCCATAAATACAGAGAACAGATGGTTGCCAGAGTGGAGGGAGAATGGACAAAATAGGTGAAGGGGAGTTAGGAGACACTTCCAGAATGAATAAGTCATGAGGACAAAAGGTACAGCATAGGGAATATGGTTCATGGTATTTTAACAGCATTGTATGGTGACAGATTGGTGGCCACACTTAGTGAGCACTTGCTGAATCATTATGTTGTACACCTGAAACTAACGAAACATTATATGTCAACTACACTTTAATTAAAAAAAATAAATAAAACAGAGACGCCTGGGTGACACAGTTAAGCATCCGACTCTGAGTTTCAACTCAGATCTTGATCTTACGGTCATGATCTCAGGGTCATGAGATCAAGCCTCACTCCCAGCTCCCTGTGGTACACTCTGCTTAGGATTTTCTCTCTCCCCCTCTGCCCCTCTCCACCCCTCTACACATGCCCATGCACTCTAAAATAAATAAATAAATCTTTAAAAATAATTAATCAAATAAAAATTTTAAGTCTGAAAGAAAATAATCAAAAAAGCAGTTTTGGAGTTGAATCAGAAGTCAAATCTCATCTCTACCATCCATTTTCTTTGGAAACTAACTCCCATGAGTTGTTGTGGACTAAGTTACCTATATTTCTGAATGTCAATTTTTTCACCTGAAATATAATGGGAATAATAATCCTACCACACAGCTAACATGTACTAGACTTAATGTGTGCCAGTCACTGTGCCCTGTCACATGGATTATACTACCTTGATGAGTCAGGTTTTATTATTACTGCAGTTTTTACAGATGAGACTACCATGACACAGGGGTGTTAAATAACTTGTCAAAGTCACGCAGCGAATAGGACAGATAAATTTGAACCCAAGTCATTCAGAATCTACACTCATAACAACTATGCTCCACTCACTGCCTCTGCAGTAGGAATTCACATACTTAGGACATTCAGTACGTTGTTAGGCCCAACAAATGTTCTGTTCCTTTTTTTTTTTTTTTTAAAGATATTCATGACTCATGAGAGACACAGAGACACACACACACATACAAAGAGAGAGAAAGAAAGAGAGAGAGAGAGGCAGAGACATAGGCAAAGGGAGAAGCAGGCTCCATGCAGGGAGCCCAACGTGGGACTTGATCCCAGGTCTCCAGGATCATGCCCCAAGCTGAAGGTAGGCACAAACCGCTGAGCCACCCGGGCTGCCCTATTCTGTTCCTTTCTTCTGTTCTCCAAGATACTGGGAAAAGCCAAAAGATAAGACACTGGCTATACAAGACTCAAACTGTAGTGGATCACTATTTATCACCTCACTATAAAATATCACCAGTATTGTAAAATATAATAAAATTATATTATACATTATAATTAGAGCAATAATAATTAACAGCTCTTTTCGTGGCCCATGGTAGGACTACATTTCATGCCCTGACTTGCACTGGCAGTGTGATTAATTCTGGACAAGAGTTGAACAGAAAACATTCCAGGCTAGAATGTTTAACTGATGTGTTTAAGACCCTCCGAAATGCCTCCTCTGCAACACTGATCAGCCTATGGTGAGGAGACTTCTGCTGACTTGAAATGAACACCAAATACGAGAGACATAAATCTTGTTTGAGGGATCCCTGGGTGGCGCAGCGGTTTGGCGCCTATCTTTGGCCCAGGGCGCGATCCTGGAGACCCGGGATTGAATCCCACGTCGGGCTCCCGGTGCATGGAGCCTGCTTCTCCCTCTGCCTATGTCTCTACCTCTCTCTCTCTCTCCCTGTGACTATCATAAATAAATAAAAAAAATTAAAAAAAAATAAATAAATCTTGTTTGAGCCAATGAGATAACCGAGCCCACCCTGATTGATAAAATAAACCATCCATCTTCTGTGAACTAATGTTTCCTGTCACTTATATTAATATAACCAAGAGCTAAAATTTGGCCCAAATACTACATAATACTACATTAGTAGGTACACTGGACAAATAAACAGTACATATTTACCTAAGGTCCTTCCTACCCCAAGAGCAAGGCGAACATGAGATAGTTTAAGGTGCCTTTTGATTCGATCAATCATGGTTGCCAAGGAAACAGATTCATCCAGTGTGCACAACCGTCCCATTCCAGTGTGTAGAAGCAGAGGCTGAAGAGAAACAGAAGTTAGAAAAACTGTCCATTTCAGTCCTAGAAAACAAACAGCAAATGCTGAGGACAATAAAACATGCACTGTGAGCTTACTATACCCAGTACCAGGCTAAAGTTTCATTATGCAAAAATGACAAAAACATTCTCTGATTTCTAGGAGCTCAGTGTTCTGTAAAGGCAAATGTTTAGTTAACTAACTGCAATAAAAGTGCTTAAATACAAGAGAGGTACTATTTTATGGGAGCCAAAGCAATGACAAAATAAATGAGCTGGGAGTTCAGGTGGGAGTACTTGGACGAAGTGGAATCAAAGGCTTTACGGACTTTTGTTTCCCAGACCAGAAAAAAGTTGTTTTTTTTTTTTAAAAAAAGGAGTGATGTCAGGTGTAGTGTGGTAGAAAAGGGATAGGTGAAATAATGTGTAAAGGCATGAGCTCAGACACTATAGCTGGTGTGCAGAGTAAGGGATGGGGACAGAAGCCATAGCTAGTCATGAAGGGCTTTGTACATTATGCTAAAAATCATGGGCTGTCTCTTGTAGGGGCTCACTAGCGAGACTACTCATGTCCCAGATGATGAAAGATCAGAATTTCAAGTACTGTGGTGACAACGCAAACAAAGAGAAACAGTTCAGACTTGGGGACAAACTAAGCAGGGCTTGGATTTAGGAGAGGCAAAGCAGGTTGCAGAAACTTGGAAAATAAGGTAGATGATGATGCCATCAATGAAACAGAAAAAATATGTAAAGGGTTGACGTAGGGGCACCTGAGTTGCTCAGTCAGTTAAGTGTCCAACTGTTGATTTTGGCTTGGGTAATAATCTCAGGGTGGAGCCTGCTGAAGATTCTTTCCCTCTCTCTGCCCCTCCTCCCAAACCCTGCTTTCACGGGTGCGCACATTCTCTCTCAAAAATAAATAAATAAACAAATAAATAAAATATATAGAGGATGAGGTCAATATTTGTTATGTGCTGAAGTACCTGTGGGATCCATTAAGTGGAAATGTCCAGAGAGTCCTTGGAAATATGGGTTTTTAAACTTTTTATCTTAAGAAAGCATTCTGAGCCAGAACATCAAGATACAGGAATCATCTTATGAATTGTAGTCAGGTAAAAGGAGCAAATAAAATGGTCCAGGCAGAGGGTATAAAAGGGATAGAACCTGTAACTGAGTCTCTAACCCTAAAAAGTACTGCTATGTAATACTGGGTATCAACTATACTTCAATAAAAAAACAGAATTTTTAAAATTATTTTTTAGAGAGTGCACATGTGAGTGGGAGGTGGGTGGGAGAGAGAATTTTAAGCAGGCTCCATGCCCAGCATAGAACCCTACCTCATGACCCTGAGATCATGACCTGAGCCAAAATCAAGTCAGAGACTTAATGTACTGAGCCACTCAGGTACCCCCAAAAGCAGAACTTAAAAAAAAATACACACACACACACATATATACTGCACTGCTAGGACCTGAATGTGTCTGTCCACACAAATTCATATGCTGAAATCCTAACCCCCAAAGACGATGGTATTAGGAGGCAGAGACCTTGGGGGAGGGTACTTAAGTCATGAGAGGGGAGCTGAAATGACTGGGGTTTGCTTCTAAAATAGGCTCCAAGACAGATCCCAGTCCTTCCCATTATGTGAGGACACAGAGAGAAGGCAATGCTGGTGAACCAGGAAGTGAGCCCTCACCAGATACCACTCCAAATCCGTTAATACCATGATCTTAGACTTCACAACCTCCAGAACTGTAAGAAATAAATTTCTGTTGTTCATAAGCTATTCATAAGCTGGGGTATTTTGCCCCAAATTGTTATAGAAGCCTGAATGAACTAAAACATCTACCAACACTTTCCCACTCCTGGCATGTCTCCCTTTCTCAATATATTCTCCAGGGTATTTTACCCCTCAACACCACCTTGTGCTTCTTTATGTAAAAGTCAATAGCCTGTCAATCTAACAATTGATAATGATCTATCAATAAAAATGCACAGTAATATATTTTTATTACCTTCTCCAGTGACAGAATTTCAGTCTTCTGGTAGAATTGTCTGCTCTGGGAAAGAAATGCCACCACCTGTATCAAAGCCTCCTGACTACAATTCAGACTAATCCTTGTTTGTTCTTCATCATCAGTCCTATTTAAAAAAAAAAAAAAAATCACTTGCTGCTGTAGGATAAATGTAAATGAGATGTAGTTTTTGGTAAAGATTTTGTTTACTTGAGAGAAAAAGAGAGTGAGAGAGTGTGCTCACAGAAAATGGGATGGGGGTGGTGGTGAGAAAAACCCAAACTGACTTTGTGCTGAACTTGGACCTCACTGACACAAGGGCTCAATCTTGTAACCCTGAGACGAATCCAAGACTCGAATGCTTAATCAGATGCTTAACCAACAGAGCCACCCAAGCACCCTGTGAAACATATTTGAACGATCTATGGTTTACACCCTCCTATAAAAGAGATTAGATTACATGAAATTTAGGATTCAATCCCAAATCAAACTATTTTCTAGAATAATATTTTTCAAATTTCAGCATGCATCAAAATCTCCTTGTAGACTTTTTAAGATTTGAGACACGGAACACAAGTGAGAGGGGCACAGGGAGAGGGAGAGACAATCTCAAGCAGTCTCTGCATTCAGTGGGGAGCCTGACAACAAGGCTCAATCTCATGACTCTGAGATTATGACCTGAGCAGAAACCAAGAGTTGGACACTTAACTCACTGTGCACCCAGGCACCACAAAAATCTCCTTGTAGACTTATTAAAAACAGATTGTTGAACTCTCCCCCTCAGGGTTTCAGATCCAGTAGGTCTATTAGGGATCTGAGAGTTTAACTTTCTAACAGTTCCAGGTGATGCTGATGTTGCTGACCCAGAGACCTCACTTTGAAACTACTGTTATAGGGATGCCTTAATGGCTCAGCGGTTGAGCATATGCTTTTGGCTCAGGGCATTATCCTAGAGTCCTGGTATCGAGTCACGCATCAGGCTCCCCTCAGGGAGCCTGCTTCTTCCTCTGCCTGTGTCTCTGCCTCTCTCTGTGTCTCATGAACAAATAAATAAAATCTTAAAAAAAAAAAAAAAGAGAGAGAGAAAGAGAGAGAGAGAGAGAGAGAGAGAGAGAGAGAGAGAGTAAACCTATGTAATGTGTTACCAGTAGGGTTTATCTAGGGATGCCTGGGTGGCTCAGTGGTTGAGCATCTGCCTTTGGCTCAGGGTGTGATCCTGGGATCAAGTCTCACATCAGTCTCCCTGCAGGGAGCCTGCTTCTCTTTCTACCTATGTCTCTGCCTTTCTCTGTGTCTCTCATAAATAAATAAAATCTCAAAACAAAAATTATTTTAAGGTAGGGTTTATCTATATCCTCTCAAGTAAAAACCACCACCTTTCAACATTATCAGGAGAATTAGAAATATTGTAAGTAAAAGGTGTAGCATAGTCCCTCCCACATAGAAAACAGTGTTACTTGTCATTTTTATTGTTTTGAAAGGGTCCCATGGAGCACCCACATGCAAATGAGAAGTAGGCTGCCTTAGAAACCCACCCTGGGGGAAAACAATTTGTTTCAGACCTAAATACTGGGGTTATAGAATTTATAAGGAAGATTCATACAAATACACATAAAAAAGGAGGAAAATATATCGTACCTAGTAGAAAAAGAAGTGACAGAAACATCTGCAATTCGTTTCACTGCAGATATAACTTTGTCCAGGTCTTCGGTACCATTAACACTGAATTCTACTCTGTGTGTTCCCGTTGTAGGGTAGTTGGGAGCTCTGGAAGGATGTATGGGCCTGGAGGTGCAAACTCCTGGGGAAAAAATTGTGCTTTATTTTTTTAATTAAAAAGAGAAACCATTATGAGCACAACTTTTAAAAAATGAGTTTTTAAAGACTGATTCTCAGATACTTATATACACACACATCTCTTACCTATACATCCAAGAGCCCCCATATTCTAGGGATTTAGCACAAATATACAAAATCAAATTTACTTTTTTTTTTCAAATTTACTTTCAAAATTATTTTCCAGAACTCTTAAATATCACAAAAACTTGACTCATGAATTCTTAGAGGATGTACAGAATTGTGACTGCTTCCTATACTTCTTCATGTAAATCATCATTCAGGTTGCAAATGCTCATAATCTACTTGACCACATTAATCCAGATATGTCATCACAAAAGCTTCAGCTCCAAATGAGTAAACTAAAATAACTTACTAAAAAATAAAGCTAAAACACATAAGTTAAAGTCCTCCATTGCACGGAGCATGAGTAAGCAATAAAACTCTGGTATCTTAAAAAAAAAAAACCCTCTGATATCTATTTTACTGACAATATGAAGTAGATTCTGGAGAAGTCTGAGCTTTTGACTCAATTTAACAAGCACTTCTCAAATTTCTGGGTGCTAGGCACGTTGCTCCATGAGTGAGGACTCACAGCAATGACGATTTCCTATGCTTTCCTTATTCATTAAGGATAAAAACTTATCAAATACAACTGCCAGATTTCACATTATTTTTAAATAGGTAAAAATAAAATAATGGTACCCACATATAAAGCAGTTAACATTCTATTCAAGACACTTTAAAATTTTCAAAGGATTTGTAGGGGAAATATTAAACATGAAAAAATAAAAGGCTTCTCACCAAGCCCTTTAGCCAACCAGCTGTTGACTCCTTGGGGTGCAGCATCATAGGCTGTGTGAGGAGAGTAAATACCAACTCTGTTTTCCAGAGCCCGGATCACCAGGCGCTCCTTCCAGGTTTTCCAGGTTATGTGCTTTAAGGGTCGAAAAATAGGTGGATGGTAGGAGAGAATGAGGTCCGCCTTTTTTTGCAGCGCCTCCTCCATCACTTCCTCGGTCAAGTCGTTGGTAAGGAAGAGTGTGTTTACAGTGTGTGGTGGGCTTGGTTCCACCAGTAAGCCAACATTGTCCCAACTCTCAGCAAGGGAGAGGGATGCAAAGTCATTCAAGGAGAAAAGGAGCGCCTTTAAATCCATGGAGGAATGGCAAGAATTGTAGATGAGGGAATGAACAAGCCGGACTGTTCTGGGAATGAGGCGTACACGAGACGACAACATACAGAAATCAGGTAACACTGAGTATCTGAAGCCAAAACACAGAAAATGGTACAGGTACATACTTAGGCCTGGACCTTTGAGGGAGCAAAGCACAGGAGCAAAAGAGCTGTGTAGTCACATACCCCTGGGTTCAAATGCAGAGTCAGCCACCTACCAGCACGTGGTAACTCAGTCATTTACCCTGAGGTTGTTTTCATTTACAAAACGGGAGACCCTATAGCCTACATCAGAGGCTACCCACAGGAGCAAATCAATTAATACGTGTAAGTCACCTAACATGAGCTTGGTACATAATACACAAATGTTCATCCCCACTTTCTCCACCCCACACACACCTTGGTTCTTTTCTTCTCATCTTTGCTTTAATCATCCTCTTCCCTTCTCCAGTTCTCTAAATATTACCCTTCCTTCCAAGTCCTAAATAAAGCTTTTCTTGACAAACATTTCCAGTGTCTAGGCCCTATACAAAACTAAGAGTCAACTCCAGTTAAGAATCCATGTACAGGGGATGCCTGGGTGGCTCAGCGGTTGAGCATCTGCCTTTGGCTCAGGGCGTGATCCTGTCCCAGGATCAAGTCCCACGTTGGGCCCCCGGCATGGAGCCTGCTTCTCCCTCTGCCTGCATCTCTGCCACACTGTCTCTCATAAAATCTTAAAAAAAAAAAAAAAAAGAATCCAGGTACAGGGACGCCCGGGTGGCTCAGCGATTTGGCGCCTGCCTTCGGTCCAAGGTGCGATACTGGAGTCCCAGGATCAAGTCCCACCACCGGCTCCCTGCATGGAGCCTGCTTCTCTGCCTATCTCTCATGAATAAATAAATAAAATCTTAAAAAAAAAAAGAAAAAAGAATTCACCCACTGTCCTACAAATAAAAATTTAAAAAAATCCAGGAATATTTCTATTTTTGAAGAAAAGCATTCATAATATGCATAATAACTGACAAGGTATAGCACAGCCAATCGAAAATCTAATCAAATACTAATAACCTAATTTCAAAAACAACTTTTTCAATAAAAATGCTCAACAAATTCGTTGAAAAAAAAAAGTATGTTTTCAGCAAAAAAAAATGTTTACTATGAGGTGTGCGCACTTATTCAGTGTCTGCTCTCAAGTGACGTGGGGCCTCCAAAACCCACTGGAGCCTGGGGTCGCGTGAGAGCTCGAGGTCCTCATGCCACTCTCCCTCTGCGGATTCCAAGCACCGACGCTGCGCTCTGCACACTCACCCAGGCTGGCGGGCGGGAAACAGGCCCCGGGGGCCAACACAGTTTTGAGATTCACGGCTAAATTTGAAAGAACCCTTGAAAATACCACCACCCTCCCACTTCACGGATCGGGAAGCAGCGAAGCGGCGTGGCCTGACGCCGCCACAACAACGGGGGGCGGCTTCGCCGGCGGTGGGGGGGGGGCGCCCACTCGGCAGCCAGCCCGACTCGCAGGGCCGCGGCTGTGTAACCAACTACCCGACCCCTGTCGCTTCGCCCTCTCAAGAATGAGAAGAGGGTCCCGCTTACGTTGTGCTCGCGAGGTTTCGCGGGACGGCGGGGAACGAGGCCTAGCGTGGCACGCCCCCGCCCTACAGCCTGCCAGCTGCACCGTTGCACTACGCCGGCTACCTCTCACTTCCGTCCCACTTCAGGCCGCTTCCAGGGCAAGGCAGAGGCCAGACGCGGCAGGAAGCTCTCAGTCAGCACTCCTGCCCTCCCCCCGGGAGCCCTAAGCTCCCCAGCCACACACCACTTTCCGGCCCGCGTCTCCCCGCTCTGCCTCCTTTCCCAGAAACGCCCTCACAACCTCCCCAGGGCGCAATGACGGCGGGGCGCCACGCGAGGCCCGCACTCGCCACTTCCGGTCCTGCGCAGGGCCTCCAGGCGTGGCCGGACGGGCTGAGGAGGAGCCGGGCGGAAGTGACCTCAAGCCGCTCGCCCGGGTTGCCCGCCTTAGTTCCGCTTTGCGTTTCGCGTGTTTGTAGGATTATTAAGCGAGCTCCCTCTCCCTGTCAAAAGCGTACCAGGTGAGGGTAAATTCCATTGCTTTCGTAAGTTCTAGTCACTTTGGTTTGAAATAGGAAGCGGGAGGTAAAAGGCGAGCAGGTGAGGAGCGTTCTAACGGGCCCGAAGACCCTAATTTCGAAACGTGGGTAATGCAAGGGCAACGTCTCGGTTGCCACAACAGGTGTGCTAACTGAAGTGGTCCGTCACATCCCTCATTCTCATTCACTTACTGAGACCCTTGCTAAGCTCTGTTCTGGTGCTTGGGCTGTTCCATTCAGTGAGCATTCTGGACGGGAGGGTAGTATTGGAACAGACTTATTTAGAAAAAGATATAGCGTATTATTGGTAAGTGCTATGGGAAAAGATAATCGGGCAGGTACTAAAGTGAAGGCAGTTTTAAGGAGAGTTATAAGGCCAATAGGAACTGACTTCTGAGCAGAGACTTGAACTCGAGGAAAATAAGCGGCCAGACGTCTGGGTGTAAGGGCTCCAGACAAAGAGAGCACCCAGCGTCTGGACCCCAAGGCGGAAATGTACGCGACTTGTTGGAGGACTTGCAGGGAGTGAAGAAGAAGTGCACAGGGGAAGTAGGAGGTTGATAGGTTCTCATCATTTCCATCACTAGACTTTTATTACTTGGGGGGGGGGTGCTGTTCCAGACTTTTTTCTTAAATATGGGGTAGAAATGAGCATGTGTGAGTTAAGAGAGGAAAACGAACTTAATTTTCTCTTTTGGGAATAGAGACACGTTTTCTAACTTCTCTTGGTGAGACTGAGAAATTGAACAATAGTACTTCCTGAAACTCACATCAAGAAGGAAAATGGTAAGTCTGATTCAATTCTTGTTGTCTTTCATTATAGATAATTTTTAGAAATTCAGTCAAGGAAAATAAAACTGGTATGATGGCTAAACAAAACCCGAAGCAAAATTACTTTTAAATTCTTTAGTGGAAATAAATAAATAATAAATAAATTAATTAATTAATTAAATTAAATAAAAAATAAATTCTTCAGTGGTTTCACTTCAAATACACAGAATTTTACTTTTTTAAAGAAAAAGATTTATTACAGCATATAGATGGAAAGGAGTTACAGAGTATACCCAGGTGTGATAATTTTGATTGGATCCTTTTGTTCTGGATCTAAGGTAGGCAACTAGAGCTTGAAATAGAAGAAAAGCAATGAGAATACTATACCCTGTTTCCTCCCACCCTACCCCAACTCACACACTCTTGGCCCTTGTCAGCTTGACCATATTCCGACTGCTAGATTCTGATGTGGGAAACAGAGGCAGAAGACAAATTATTAAATTTTCTTACTACCTACAGCCCATTGACAAGTCCTTGAAACAGGCAGTGACGCTCCTCTAGGGACTTAACTGCCTCAATGTCAATACTTTGCTAAGGGCAAGAGGCAGTCTTACCCCAACTCCCACGATGCTGTAAATCTACTTTAACATATAAAAATTCCTTTAGGAATTTCCTTATCTCGGGGCACCCGGGTGGCTCAGACAGTTGAGTGTCTGCCTTCGGCTCAGGTCATGCTCTTAGGGTCCTGGGATTGAGCCCCCACATCGGGCTCCCTGCTCAGCGGGGAACCTGCTTCTTCCTCTAACTCTCCCCCTGCTTGTGCTTTCTCAAATAAATAAAATCTTAAAAAAAAAAAAAAAAGAAATTCCCTTGTCTCCCCCAAGATACCTGTTGGCAATCATCCCCCAAGCATATGGCCCACTGATATATATCTGAATGATCTTTGCCCAACAATAGCTATCACCCCACCACCACCAAGGTCCTGGAAACCTTGCTTCCAGAATTCCTTAGAGATTTATGCTCTCCCTACACCCCTCCCAACTTGAGAGTATATAATGGGCCACTCGCCGTGACCCCAGTGCAGCTCTTTCTGCCCATGAGTCCTGTCCCCAAGCTTTAATAAAATCACCTTTTTGCACCAAAGGCATCTCAAGAATTCTTTCTTGGCTGTCAGTTTCCAACCCTAAAGTCTTTTCCTACGTCAGATACTACTGGAAGAGGAGAAATGAAAAAGGAAGCCTCAGAATAACCCCTGACCCCACAATGGGATAACAAAAGGAATATGCAAGTTACTCAGAGAACATCAGAGAAACAAAAAGCAAGCAAGGAATAATATGATTACCTCTGCACATTTACGATTGTTGTCTTCAGTGAAGAATCGTTTTTAACACTCAAATTACATAGGGAAATAAATGGTGGAGACTCTGTTTTGAAAAGTCATTTTCTTACTATTTTTCAATATATATTAATGGTGTTGGTGAATTGCCATTTAAATCAGTAATACTAATATAACCATTGTTTTCATTTTTATTGATGACAAATTCACACTTAAAATAAGTATTTCCATCACAGTATATTTACTGTTAAAAATTTTTTTTAAAGATTTTATGTATTTATTCATGAGAGACACAAAAAGAGAGAGAGGCAGAGACACAGGCAGAGGGAGATGCAGGCTCCATGCAGGGAACCTAACGTGGGACTCGATCCCGGGTCTCCAGGATCACACCCTGAGCTGCAGGCAGCACTAAACCGCTGCACCACCGGGGCTGCCCTACTGTTAAATTTTTATGATAGGTACCATTTTACATTAACATTTATATTTAAAAAAAAATTATATTTATTTTCTGGAGTTTTTTTCTACTGTTGAAATAAATTTTGAAGAAGTACACATTACTCTCGTGTGTGTAGTCATACCATCTCTGAAATGGTATTTCTTTCTGTGTTTTAATTCAGGCTGTCATCTTTAATCTAGTTTGAGAATAATATAGCACATAAAGTCACAAAGAAATCTAATTTGTTCTATTTTTTTTTCTCTTTTTTAGTCAGTGACACTGCATACAGATGTAGGTGATATTAAAATTGAAGTATTCTGTGAGAGAACACCCAAAACTTGTGAGGTGAGTACCATTATGTCCATATAAAAAATGAGTTAATGGGCAGCCCCGGTGGCTTGGTGGTTTGGCCCCGCCTTCAGCCCAGGACATGATCCTGGAGACCCAGGATTGAGTCCCACATCAGGCTCTCTGCATGAAGCCTGCTTCTCCCTCTGCCTCTGTCTCTCATGAATAAATAAATAAAATCTTAAAAAAAAAAAAAAAAGAGTTAATGCAGCAGGATAACCATTTTGGAATTAAATCATCTAACCAAAAAAAATAATAAAAGCTTATATATAAAACCATTGTCAAGAAAAACTAGCCATCATAATTTCTGGCCTAATTTCCACTTACCTTTGATATTAAAGGTGGATCAAAGAAAGAGCAGATAATTTTTCTCTAAACATAGAGGGGTTGGGGGGTACCTGTGTGACTCAGTGGTTGAGCGCCTACCTTTGGCTCAGGTCATGATCTTGGGGTCCTGGGATAGAGTCCCTTATCGGGCTCCCGACAGGGAACCTGCTTCTCCCTCTGCCTAATGTCTCTGCCTGTCTCTGTGTCTCTCATGAATAAATAAAATCTTTAAAAATATATATATGTATAAGTGTATTTTTGCTATATCATTTCCCAATCATTACTTTCTCTCTTTTCAGAATTTCTTGGCTCTTTGTGCCAGTAATTACTACAATGGCTGTATATTTCATAGAAATATCAAGGGTTTCATGGTTCAAACAGGAGATCCGACAGGTAAGTTAATTCTATTAATATCTAGAGAATTGGGTATATAGTATGAAAAAGAGGGTAGACAAAGAACAGAAAAATATAATGTAACATTGTATGTCAACTATACTCAAATTAAAAATATTTTTTGGAATACCTATGTGACTCAGTTTAAGCATCTGACTCTTGATTTCAGCCCAGGTCTTGATCTCAAGCTGGTGAGTTCAAGCACCACTGGGCCTAGAACCTACTTAGAAAAAATATATATATGTGAAATTTTAATTTTTAATAAATAAAATTAATTTTTATAAAATAAAACAAAGATATAAGCACATAGAGTTTTTATAACCTGGCTACTTTACCACAACAATAAATTTTTAGGGCAGCCCAGGTGGCTCAGCAGTTTAGCACCACCTTCAGCCCAGGGCCTGATCCTGGAGACCCGGGATTGAGTCCCATGTCGGACTCCCTGCATTGGAGCCTGCTTTTCCCTCTGTGTCTCTGCTTCTCTCTCTGTGTGTCTCTCATGAATAAATAAATTAAATCTTAAAAAAGGGGGGGGGGCAGCCCCGGTGGCGCAGCGGTTTAGCGCCACCTGCAGCCCAGGGCGTGATCCTGGAGACCCTGGATCGAGTCCCACGTCAGGCTCTCTGTATGATGCCTGCTTCTTTCTCTGCCTCTATCTCTCTGTCTCTATGAATAAATAAATAAAATCTTTTAAAAAAAAATTTAAGTAGAAGTTACTGGCATCTAGTTTTATTTATTTATTTATTGCATCTAGTTTTATTTTTTTTACTTTTTTATTTATGATAGTCACACACACACACACACACACACACACACACAGAGAGAGAGAGAGAAAGAGGCAGAGACATAGGCAGAGGGAGAAGCAGGCTCCATGCACCAGGAGCCTGACGTGGGATTGGATCCCGGGTCTCCAAGATCGTGCCCTGGGCCAAAGGCAGGCGCCAAACCGCTGCGCCACCCAGGGATCCCTGCATCTAGTTTTAAAATAAAATATGAACGGGGTGCCTAGCGGCTCAGTCAATTGAGTGTTGGACTCTTGGTTTCAGCTTGACTCGTTATCTCAAGGTTGTGAGATTAAGCCCTGCATCGGACCTTACATTGAGCAGAGTCTGCATGGGGTTCTTTCTTTGTACTCCTCTCATTTCATGTGTTTGCACTCTCTTTAAAATAAATAAAACAAAATATGAACAATACTGATAGGGGATTTTTTTTTTTGTAGAGACACTTTATTTTTCTGCTCTGTAAAGTGGAATTTTGAGAAGAGAGGACATTTCAAATTTAAAGAGTTACAAAATAGCCCTTATGTTTTAGAAAATGAAACTTTTTCAACATTAGATACTTCCCTTTTTTTTTTTAATTAGATACTTTTTTTATTTGTCTCATAATATAGGTACTGGAAGAGGAGGTAACAGTATCTGGGGCAAGAAATTTGAGGATGAATATAGTGAATATCTTAAGGTATATCTCGAGCGCTTCAAAATCTATCTTCTCATGCCTTGTTTACACTTGAAAACTTTAATACATATGTTGTAGTAATACAAGGTAATGTCATTAGTATACAAACATGCTTTTTTTGTAGTTTTAGTACACTTAATAAATGTCAGGGAGAAAATATAAATATAAATGACATTTCTTACCTAAAATATATTCTGAAATCTCGCAATCACATGGATCTTGACATTAAGTGAGCTTTTCTTTGGGTCCAGCCTGAAATGTTTATTAATCAGAAATGTACCAAAAGGGCTTAATGTCTCACTATAAAATTTATGTTGAATGACATGAATCACTAGCCTTTTTTGAGGATAGGCAAGAAAGACCATGAGACCTCCTGGTTGCAATACTGCACATGGTAAATATCCAATTTTTATTATCATCTGTTAGATGTTTGAATATACCTGTGTTAACTTAATTTCTGTGGTAAATCCCAGCTAGGTTAAAGAGAAGTGCATAGCATAGTAAAATCAGAGATTTTTGTTTCCTTTTTTTTTTATTTTCATATTTTTTCTCTATTTTTCAAACTTTCTAAAGACCATTTTTTCAAATTTCCTATTTTTAAAAGATTTTATTTTTTTAAAAAAAATAAATATATATATTTTTAAGATTTTATTTTTAATCTCTATACCTAAATGGGGCTCAAACTTACAATCTCAGAATCAAGAATTGCCTGCTCCGCCAACTGAGCCAGGCACTCCAAGAACCTTTGTTTTTAAATAAAAAACTAACACATGCCTATTTTAAAAAATTTTTTAATTAAAATTTAAAATTAAATCATTTCTTCTTCCCAGAGATGACATCTACTGACAATTGTCATGTGATCTTTTAAACTTTGTATCTGCATAGAATGATAACTTTAGAAATTTAAAAAAAAGAGATAAATTCTCCTCAATTAGAACATGTAATATTTTTTTTCTTTTTTTTTGGGGGGGGGCAAGTGCACAGCAAGGGGAGCTGCGGAGCAAGGAGAAACAGGCTCCCCGCATGACCTGAGCCGAGGGCAGACTCTTAACCAACAGAGCCACCCAGGTGCCCCTAAAATATGTGATTTGGTACATCGTATTTCAGTCACATTAAGATATATCCAAGAGGGATACCTGGGTGACTCAGTGGTTGAGCATCTGCCTTTGGTTCAGGTCATCATCCCGGGGTCCTAGGATCAAGCTTTGCATCAGGCTCCCTACAGGGAGCTTCCTTCTGCCTCTGCCTTATACCTCTGCGTCTTTGTGTCTCTCATGAATAAATAAAATCTTTAAAAATATATATATATATCCAAGAAAATTCTGAAAATTCATTGCAGTGTTTAAGTCTGGATGATGGGACTAGGAGTAATTTATTTTTTTCTTTTTGTTTTCCTTCATGCGGAAAGATTACTTTTGTTATAGGAGTTGGGGCTGGGAGGTGATAAATTGTTTATAAGTCATCCTTTTCCAGAATTATAAACAAAGCAACTTTAGGCATTAATTAATAACTGCTTCAGTAACACTAATTCACCATCCTATACCAGTGATTTTCAACACTGGCTATTATAGACTCACCTGTGGAGTTTTAAAAATAGGAAATATTAAGGCCTTATACCCCTTAATATAGAAAAAAAGAATAAAACTGATTAGGACCTAGATTATATTTTAAGGTTCTCTAGTGATTCCTAAAGTCTTAAGAACTATCATCTTTATATACCAGAGTTGGGTGTGTATTGAATATTCACATACTCTGACCCAGCAATTCCATTCCCAAATGTTTACCTTATAGAAACTCTTGTACATATGCATTAAGAATCAGTACAGGAGTGGTCCTAGAGTGCTATTTTAATAGCAAAATCTAAAAACAACCCAAATATCCATTGATCATAAAATGGACAAATAGAGTATATTCAGTGGTTGAATATTATCCAGCAATAAAAAAATCATAACTGGACGCCTGGGTGGCTCAGCGGTTGAGCACCACCCTTCAGCCCAGGGTGTGATCCTGGAGTCCCAGGATCGAGTCCCACATGGGGCTCTCTGCATGGGGCCTGCTTCTCCCTCCGCCTACGTCTCTGCCTCTCTCTGTCTCCATGAATAAATAAATAAAATCTTTAAAAAAAAAATCACAATTACTGCTACACATTTATGTGTAAGTCTTAGAAACATAATGATGGTATAAAAAGCATTTGCCAGAAGACTACAAATAGTATGATACTATTTTAGAGAGCTCAGAAACAACCGGAAGAGAGCAATCTTGTTTAGGCATGTATAAAGATAGTAGAATGGTGGTTTTTTTCCTTGGGAGAGGTTGAGGTAAGAGATGACGAGTACATAGGCATATGCAATAGTTTGGTAAGTTGGAATTCTTTTTTTTTTTTTTTTTTAAGATTTTATTTATTCATGAGAGACACAGAGAGAGCAAGAGGCAGAGACACAGGCAGAGGGAGAAGCAGGCTCCATGCAGGGAGCCTGATGCAGGACTCCATCCCGGAACTCCAGAATCATGTCCTGGGCCGAAGGCAGACGCTAAACTGCTGAGCCACCCAGAGATCCCAAGTAAGAATTCTTAAATCTTAGAAATAGGTTAATGAGTATTTTATTAAGCTATAAGTTAAATGTAACATTTGAGTCACCTTTTGAGAAGAAAATAAAGCTTTAATATCTTGATGTAGCTAGATTTCTATTGCTTTCTCATTAGTGTCTGCTGATAAATAGCTTAAGAGAGAGTAATCACTAGTTATTTATGATATATTTTATATTGCAGCGCCTCCTTATAGCACAGTTTTGTCATGTCTTCAATCTTCTCAGTAATGTCCTTATAATTCTTATATACAGTCCCTTGTATAACAAATAGTATCATGAGTATTAGAGCAATAGGAGACCTTCCCTTAGATCATCCAGTCCTGGGTTATGAGCTGCCTGCCCTTGGGTGGAAGATCCACAGATACATTCTCTGTGGCCGTGGTCTAAAAAATGTTTTAGTACTATTTAGGCAAGAGATATATCATTCCTTTTGCCAGACTCCATCACTCCTACATTCTGTCCAAATAACCCATTTATTATCTGCTGACCTAGGTGAGCATTTGAATTATGGATAAAACCCCTGAACTAGTCCAACCTCCCTCCCTTGTTTTACAGATAAAGCAACTAGCCAGAGGCCAGTGTATGTGTGAAGAGATTATGGGGATTTTGGTTTTGTTCTCTTCCTGATTGTTTCATGCCAGCACACTGTTCCCTAATATGATGTAAAGACTTCTCTTATGCCTTGGTTTTGCTAAAAATATCTGTGGCTGTACTCCTCCAAAGTGAAAATGCAATTAACCGGGGCATAGGATTTGATATGTACACAATTCACATACAAGTGTTAGAAATACAGATCATACAGAAACTGAACATTTGGATTAGCCTTAATAGCAGCTAATTAAATGTTTTCTTGGTCCCTTAAAAAGTACAGATTTTGTCTCAGTCCTATATTTGGAATATTTACATAGAAACACAATTAAGGGCAGCCCGGGTGGCTCAGCAGTTTAGCACCACCTTCAGCCCAGGGCGTGATCCTGGAGACCTGGGATCGAGTCCCACGTCAGGCTCCCTGCATGGAGCCTGCTTCTCCCTCTGCCTGTGTCTCTGTCTCTCTCTCTGTGTCTCTCATGAATAAATAAATAAAATAAAAAAAAAAAAACCACACACACACACAATTAAATATTTTGGCCTGTCTTTCACAGCACAATGTTAGGGGTGTTGTATCAATGGCTAATAATGGCCCAAACACCAATGGATCTCAGTTCTTCATCACCTATGGCAAGCAGCCACATTTGGACATGAAATATACAGTATTTGGAAAGTGAGTATTTTGGTTATAGTTTTCTTTGGAATTTCAATGCAAGGGCTGCATATGAGAGACTATGATAGCATAATATTGAAAGAGCAGTATGAAAGTTAAATACACCTGGTAAGCCCACCACTTACCAGCACTGTGACCTTGGGAACGTATAACCTCTTCGAGCCTTAATTTCTTTACTTCGTAAAATAGGAGCAAATACTTTTTTCCCCTTTTTTTGGACTGTTATGCAAATTAACAGTAATGTATTTTTTATGAATAACATTTTGCAGGAATGAACAGATCTGAAAAATAGGGGCCTTAACAAGATGGGCTAAGACGGTGGTTCCCTTCTGTCACCAGTGTTCTAGGCGCCTCTTTCTCCTCAACCACCTTTCTCTTCCATCCTCATGCTCACCTCATGGTCATAATATGGGCAGCATAGCTCCAGTCAGAACATGTGTTCCAGGCAGAAAGAAGGAGGAAGGGCAAAAGGGGCTTGCCAGCTGAGTCAGTCCCTTTTTTTTAAGTTTTACTTTATGTTTTTGTGTGTTTTTTTAAGATTTTATTTATTCATGAGAGACAGAGAGAGAGAGGCAGAGACACAGGCAGAGGGAAAAGCAGGCTCCATGCAAGGAGCCCGATGAGGGACTCGATCCCTGGACTCCAGGATCATGCCCTGAGCCGAAGGCAGCCGCTCAATCACTGAGCCACCCAGGCATCCCTATTTATATGTTTGTTTTTGTTTTTGTTTTTGTTTTTAAGTAAGCTCCACAAGTCGGCCCCTTCTTAAATAGCTTTCCTAGAAGACCCAGAACTTAACATTGTGGACTTCATTACCTACAAGGGAAGGTAGGAAATGTTTTTCAGAAACACATTGCCAGTCTTAATAAAATCAAGATTCTATGAGGAAGAAGAAGCCGGGAGACTGGATTCTAGGTAGTTGTTCAGCAGACTGTGCCAGAATATCCACTATTAGCACCATGCCTGGGAATTGCTTTTATAAATCAGCAAAATGTCAACCTGTCAAATGTTCATTCAACAAACATTTACTGTGCTCAATAAACCAAGGCACAGTTGTAGGGTTTCTTTTAACAGTTTGGATGCCAAGTTAGATAAACTAGAAGACTCAGGGTGCCTGGTTGGCTCAGCTGGTTGGGTGTCTGCCTTTGACCCAGGTCGTGGTCCCATGGACCTGGGATTAAGCCCTGAGTCAGGCTCCCTGCTCAACAAGGAGTCTGTTTCTCCACTGCCCTTCGCTTCACTCATGCTCCCTCTCTCTCTCTCAAATAAGTAAAATCTTTTTTAAAAAATGGAAATAAGGCCTGTTTAAAATTTTTTTAAAAATCGAAGACTCAACAACTCTTAGTTTTCATTCTATATAAATGTCTAATTTACAGATTAATAATCAATGAAATTAGTGAAATATTACAGCCTCTAGTAGTAATTGCCTGGATGTAGATAATTCAGGTTCCCTTTCTTTTGTTTTCTCCTTTAACCCAGAATCATTGATCATTAACTACCAGGATTTATATCACTAGATTTGTGACAACTAGAGAGTTAAGAACAAAGATTCTTAACTGTAGGTTTCTTAATTCCTTGAAGTTATGTGTTCTGTGTGTATACACACATACTTTTTTGGAAGATGGCATGTAGCTTTCCATTTGTTCTCAAAGGTGCCCATGTCCCAAACACTTGACTAACTTGACTCAATTCTACATGCCCTTTTTGCTTGAGATCTGTTTCCTATGTCCTCTGTTTCTCTGACCCAAAAGGTGAGGAAGCTTTTGAAACTTAAAATTTAAGGACCATAGTGAGGGGGCACATGGGTGGATCAGTCTGTTAAGCATCTGCCTTTGGCTCAAATCATGATCGCAGGGTCCTAGGATCAAGTCCCATGTCAGGCTCCCTACTTAGCAGGGAGTCTGTTGCTCCCTATGCTTATGCTCTCTTTCTCTCTCTCAAATAAATAAATCAAATCTTAAAAAAATACTTGGTACATTTGGGAGTAAATTCAAAAGGTTGGTAGAAATGCAAAATAAAATGTAAATCTGTTATCTTTGTAAGTTATGCTGTAAGTCTTGGAAATTGATTAGAGTTGCACTAAGAGATATAACCTAAAGCCACCTGGGGCATCTCAGTGGCTCAGTCCATAGTGTGTGACTCTTGATTTCACTCAGATCATGATCTCAGGGTCCTGGGTTTGAGCCCCACATCAGATGCCCTGCTCAGCAAGGAGTCTGCTCAAGATCCTCTCTCCCTTTCCTCTTCCCCCCTCCCCATTTGTGTGTTCTCTCTTTCTCTCACTTGCTGTCTCCAAAATAAATAAATATATAAATAAATCCACCTTTCCTTAACAAATGTTTTAGACCACTTGCCAGAAGGATAGCTCTCTATATTTTCTTATATTTGTGGTAACGTGGAAATACGCTTCCTGGAAATGGGCTTAAGTTCCCATCTTTCCTTCTTTTATTATTAGTGCTTTTTGTTGTTGCCCAGATGCAAAAAGTAAAAACACCATATTTAAATAAAGTGCAAAATGGCCATAACAGTGTCACCATTACATACTTTCTCTGAGTATTTCCTCTAGTAAAGAAAATCTTATGACTGGTTATATTAGACCCATTTGTAGCTATGCTGTGGGAATACTTTGGTGGTAATATTCCTAGTCACTGCTATTGTCTAAAGGCCATAATAATGAATTTTTGTTTCTGAATTTTGGCTTATATCCATGGTAGAAAAACAAATCAGTATTTTATTGCATATTCAACTAGGGAGTGCAAAGAACTATGAGACATGGTTCTTTTTTCTTAATTAAGGAAACTAATTGCTATAAGTATTTGGATATTATGTTTCAATCTATGGAAATTTTCAAACATTTATATTTCTCTTTCAGGGTAATAGATGGTCTAGAAACTCTAGATGAATTGGAGAAGTTACCAGTAAATGAGAAGACCTACCGGCCTCTTAATGATGTACACATTAAGGACATAACTATTCATGCCAATCCATTTGCACAATAGCTATAATAGACCTGGAAAAATATTTGGCAGACTATTTAAGGAACACACCTATTGTAGTTTACCCAGTTTTAATTATGTCAAAAGATTACATCATCCTTCTGCTTGTTTATAGCTAAGATCTTATTTAAGTTTAATTTTCTAAAAACTCTTCTAATTTTTGGTTACATACAAGCATTCATTTTTTTTTTTTTAAGATTTTATTTATTTATTCATGAAAGGCAGAGACACAGACAGAAGGAGAAGCAGGCTCCATGCAGGGAGCCCGACGTGGGACTGGATCCCAGGACTCCAGGATCATGCCCTGGGCAGAAGGTGGAGCTAAACCGTTGAGCCACCCCAGCTGCCCACAAACATTCATTTTTAAATGCTGAGCCTCAAATCCTGGCATACTTTTTTTTTTTTTAAGATTTTATTTATTTATTTATTCATGAGACAGAGAGAGAGAGAGAGAGGCAGAGACACAGGCAGAGGGAGAAGCAGGCTCCATGCAGGGAGCCCGACGTGGGACTCGATCCCAGGTCTCCAGGATCAGGCCCCAGGCTGAAGGCGGCGCTAAACTGCTGAGCCACCTGGGCTGCCCAAATCCTGGCATTTTTGAGCACTATACATATTCCTGCCATATCTAGTCCACGTCCTAGAGGTAGTCTTTTCCATTAATTATTCACTTTGAGCAGTTAGAGTAAGGACAAGATAGAGATGATCTAGAAAAGCCAGCCAGCCAATCCCTTTGCTATTTTCTGTGGTCTTTAGATTACAGTAAAGGCTCAGAGAAGTCCTAGAGTACAGTAAGCACTCAATTTCCCAATTCCTTTGTCCATGGAACTTTTTTAAAGCGTATCATATACAGTATTGTAGGACAGAATTCTACAGGTGAGCTGTTTGAAAAATGCAACTAATTGGCTAAGAGCACCAGTTGTAGAGTCCTGGATTGTGTTTGAATCACAGCTCTACCTCCTACTAGTAACTTTAGGCAGTTTACCATCTCCCAGATTTTCTTATCCCTAAAGACTCCTCCCCTTCATAAGACTATTGTGAGGACTAATGAAACAATGTAAAGCTTCTGGCATCTGATAAGTGTTCTGTAGTGAGTAAACAGAAGCTGTTCTCTTAATATTTATCTCCACCATAAGGCTCTCACCTAATCAGGCCTCATCATTTATCAGGCTATATCATTGATCTCATCAAAACCGTATTCTTTGATTTGCTTCCATCACCTTGATTAGATTTTGGTATTACTAAAACTGATGTCAAGTATTTCTTGGTTTGTATCATTTCTACAGATAGCTGATCTAGTATTTTCTTTCTTAATTATAATTTGGATGTTAGCTTGTAATATTCTCTTATTACCACCTATACCTTCTATTAAACTGATGTGCCAATTATATTAATGTCTTCACTTTTTGAAAAATAAGCTCTATGCCCAACATAGAGATTGAATTCATGACCCTAAGATTAAGAATTGCATGCTCTACCTACTGAGCCAGTCAGGCACCCCTAATGCCCTCACGTTTTGATTCAGCCTTCTAATTTAGTCATTTAGATTTCTAGACCATATTAAAGCCTCTTTGGGGCCAAAATTTGTTTTGACACTTTCTTATACCTGATTTTTTTTTCTCCCAACTGAATGACATTGTTTTTGTCATTACTCTTAGGAGGCTTTTACTGATTGCCAAGATGTTTTTGTACTGACTGGCATTCTGTCAATTTTAATTCTAAACCCTGCTCTTAAAACAAACAAAACAAAAAAACAATCCTGCTCTTGTTTCTTTACGTGCTACCAATATGGTGGGTTTTTAGTTTTTAGAGCTCATCCTTATAATGTCTGTTTAGTGATAGCCATAAGGATCTTATAGAAAGACTGGCTGCCCATCTTGGGCCTTTGAGAGGCATCATGAGGATCAAGATCCATGACACTGCTTTCCACTCACAGAAGTGGCTGGTTCACACATCACATTAGCAGTTGAGTCTGTTCCATGTATTAACCGGAGGTAAAACACACTTAGCCAAAGGCAGACATTTAACAACAGAGCCACCCTGATGCCCCCAAAATAAAATCTTAAAAATAAAACTACAGTAAGGGGTGCCTGGGTGCCTCAGTTGGTTAGGTGTCTGCCTTCAGCTTGGATGATGATCTCAGGGTCCTGGGATCCAGCCTCCCGTGCGGTTCCTTGCTCAGTGGGAAGTTTGCTTCTCCCTCTATCCCTGCTTGTGCTCTCTGTGAAATTTAAAAAAAAAAAAAAATCTTCAAAAATAAATAAAAATAAAGCTATAATGAAAAAGGGATTAGCTGCAAACATTTTATAAAGCTCCAAATACTAAATTGGTGCAAGAGATATGGCTAGGATAGTATACAGGAGTTCAATTCAAAATCATTAAAGGAAAAAAATTTAAAAAATTTAAAAAATAAATAAAAAAAATCATTAAAGGGAAAAGTTATCCCATAAATTGTGTTAAGATAACCAGTAAATTATATGGAGAAAAATAGCAAAAGAATTTCAACACACATGATGATGCAGCAAAATTCCAGATGGATAAATTGCCTTTAAAAAAAAAAATCTAGGGCAGCCTGGGTGGCTCAGCGGTTTAGCGCTGCCTTCAGCCCAGTGTGTGATCCTGGAGACCCGGGATCAAGTCCCATGTCAGGCTCCCTGCATGGAGCCTGCTTCTCCCTCTGCCTGTGTCTCTGCCTCTCTCTCTGTGTGTGTCTCTCATGAATAAATAAATAAAATCTTTAAAAAAAAAAAAAAAATCTAGGGCAGCCCGGGTGGCTCAGCGGTTTAGTGCCGCCTTTGGCCCAGGGTCTGATCCTAAAGACCTGGGATGGAGTCCCATGTCTGGCTCCTTGTGTGGAGCCTGCTTCTCCCTCTGCCTCTCATGAATAAAAAAATCAAGTTGTGGGCAGGGTTGTTTACACTAAGGTCTCACTTTGGCTGGTAAATGACCATCTTCTACACAATCTCAGTGAGTAATCTCTTCAAGAAGAAAGACCTCAGTCATATTGGATTGGGGCCCACCCTAGTGACCTCATTTTAACCTTAAGTAGGTCTGTAACGGCCCTATCTACAAATAAGTCACAATCTGAGGTAGTAGGAGTCAAGACTAAACATGAATTGGGGGGGGACAGTGCCACCTCAAAACCAACAGTATGCACTAGGAACACAATATTTTCATAGGGCAGCCTTCAGTCTAGGGCCTGATCTGGAGCCCTGGGATCAAGTCCCACGTCAGGCTCCCTACATGGAGCCTGCTTCTCCCTCTGCCTGTGTCTCTCATGAATACATTAAAAAAAAAAAAAGGATAAAAATTTTTAAAAAAATGTTCATAAATGAAATTTTGGGTAAATCTCAAATTAGTAATTGCCTAGGTATGAGTAAATTTAAAACCATTTCGAAAACTAATTTTGGTAGTATACACAAGATTATTTTCAATGTTCATCATCTTTCACCCTTGTAATCTTATTGTGATTTCTAAATTTCTCTCTGCAGTCCTTCACTACTTGTAAAAGCACAATATAGTTGATGCCTTTCTCCCATCTCCTACTAGATTGTTAGCATTAAGAATGTATGTACAGTGCTTGGCACAATAACCAGCTCACTATGATTAGCTACTATTCTCCAAAGGCAGGGATTCCTTAGGTTTGCTTAAGATTGAAAAATGCTAAATAGGTCTTGAATTTCACAAGTTAACAGTGATGAATTCTTCCCTCTGAAATATTTACCTTCTATTTGGTGACCCTGGCCCCCATAAAGATTTAAGTATTAATAGTTTTAAAACATCTTCAAATCTTATGAAGGGGCTTAAGAAATGCAAACTACCATAGAATTTTGGAAATACATATTCCTCATCACTTTTTACCCAATAATTGTGCATCTGTGTAGGGCTGGCTACATATGTTGCTCTCCTGTGCAACAGCTAGTAAAATTATGGTTGGTTTTAAGTTAATTTTATACGTTTTTGTGACGCCTAGGTGGTTCAGTGGTTGAGCGTCTGCCTTTGTTTTTTGTTTTTGTTTCTGTTTTTTTGAGCGTCTGCCTTTGGCTGGGATCACGATCCCAGGCTTCTGGGATCAAGTCCAGCATCAGGCTCCCTGCATGGAGCCTGCTTTTCCCTCTACCAGTGTCTCTACCTCTTTCTCTTATGAATAAATAAAATCTTTAAAAATGATAATTTTTTACATTTTCCACTAAATTTGGAACGAGTGAATAAGACAAAACTGTGGAGGGCACGGGGCTAGGACTGGCAGTGACTAGTCTATCCAAGTGTAGTTTGATGATTTTGTTGTTAAGGTTGTTTCCTGACATTTTCTTCAAGCCCTTCCATTTCCCCTCTTAAGAGGTCATGCAGAGGACGGACTATGCCAAAATGCTTAACAGTGAAAGGTCCCCATTTCCTGTCTCCAAGCTCTTGCCCATTCATTTCTGCAACATTTAACACCACGAGGGTCGCCCGGGGGGCTCGGCGGTTGCGCATCTCCCTTGGGCCACGGGCGTGACCCTGGAGTCCGGAAATCAAGTTCCGCATCGCGCTCCCTGTGTCTCATGAAAAACATGAAAAAAAAAAAAAATCTCTCCAATCTAATTTCGGTGTATGTTGAGTCCCAGCTACTAAAGACTTACCTAGTTTTAAATCTCAGAACCTTAGCAAAAGCCGAAATCCAGACGATTAACTCATTTATGACTATAGGATGGACGTCGTGTTTTGTTTTGTTTTAAGGATTGTTGCGTGGTTGCACTCAGGTCACAGGAGATTTAGTAGCACGCTTCCCTCACTCCTTGCCACGTCTACCGAGCACATTCGAGAGTCCTCTCTAGCACCTCCACGGTTTGCCTCAGACCCAGAGCGCCCAACATGGCCGCCGGGAGACACCTCCCACCTCCCCCTTCGGTCTTCGGGCTCCCGCTCCGGCGCCTGCGCACTCGTCGGCCACCGGGCCTCCGGCAGTCCCTGCGCACAAGCGCCACCCACCCCGCCCCGCCCTGCGGCGAGACGCGCTCGCGGCGTCACCAGTGTTTTCGAGTCGAGTCCCGACGCTGCGGCTGTCACCTCCATTTTGTTTTCGGAGCCCGTCGCAGCCAGTTGGGCTCCTCCCTGTTGTCGCGTTGCAAGCTTTGCCTCTTTCGGCTTGGACTGTCTGGCCGGGACGGTAAGACGCAGGACGAAGCGGGCTAGGTGTCAGGGCCCTCCTTCTGTTCCTGGTGATGCCCTCTCGCTTGTTTGCTGCCTGTAATCTCCGGCACGACGCCCCCCCCCCCGCCGCCGCCGCCTCCCGGGGTTGCGTGAAGGCAGCCTGCTTGTCTTCCTAGCGCCGCCGAGCCTGTTGCCGCGATTTTCTCCTTAAACCGCAACGCCCCGGACGCTGGCGAGGGCTAGCGCTGACTGACGGCTGGCGGGAGCGCCGGCAGGGCCCGCGGGCGCCATTTTGTCGGCGGCGGCCTTGGCCTCTTCGGCGGAGCTGTAAGATGGCGGCGGGGCGGAGGAGGCGAGGCTTCCTGTTGAGGGTGCTGTGTACTTGGGTCCCTGGATGTGCGTGTCGCTCTCCCGTAAGCCGCTGTGTTCGCAGCAAATAGATCACGTTGACCTGACAGGACTCGGTAGCACCTAACGTCTAGTCGAGTCTTAAAGGATTCGAGTGAAGGTCGCGAGTGTCCTTGCCCTCGGTGCGTTAACCAAAATCAGGTTTCGCAGAGCCCGGAGAAGCAGAAATAATAGGGTATATTCGAAGGTGCGTGGGAGACGAGTCAGGTTATGAGACGTCTTGCGCTATAGAATTTTGCGCCCCCTTGCCCCCAACCTCTAGGGAGCAGCTGGAGCCTTTTGGTTTATAGTTTACGTGCAAAGACGTGGTGGCGTCCCTTCAGTTAGTACTGTTAAGAACGGTGGTTGAGATGAAAAGATGCTATCTACTGTTTTTTTTCTTAAAGGTTTTATTTATTCATGAGAGACACAGAGGGAGAAGCAGGCGGCTGCGGGGAGCTCAATGCAGGACTCGATCCCGTAGTTCCAGGATGACGCCCTGGGCCGAAGGCCGGCGCTAAACCGCTGAGCCACCCAGGGATACCCTCCCTCATTCTTTTTTTTTTTTTTAAGATTTTATTTATTTATTCATAAGAGACACAGAGAGAGCGAGAGGGGCAGAGACACAACACAGACAGAGGGAGAAGCAGGCTCTATGCAAGGGAGCCCGACGCGGGATCGATCCCGGGTCTCCAGGATCACGCCCTGGGCTGTAGGCGGCGCTAAACCGCTGAGCCTCCCGGGCTGCCCTGTTTTGTTTTGTTTTTTTCAAGTTATTAGGAATTTCTGTTCAAAACATTGAAAGGAAGGTGCTCCCCTCCCCCAAGTTGATCTTGTAAGATTGCTTTCGGAATAAGCTAGGTCTTAC